AAATGTGGAGCGCACTTTAAATACCTCGCACATCACCCGCACATAAATCGCACATAAATCGCACAAATCGCAAATGGCCCCGCCGCTCAACATTTTAGTTTTGTGCATTTTTGCTGGCCACAGAATGCCGAGCATCCATCATTCAGACACACTTCCGTCTGGCCGGGAATACTGGATGGATGGATGGATGGATAGCTGCAATGACTGGTTGGGTGTTGGGAGGTGTAGGTGTAGGGGTAGGTGTAGGTGTAGGTGTAGGTGTAGGGGGAGGCGGTAGGTATCCTACAAACATTGACATTTGCCTTGCATGTTGCATTTTCGTGCTCGCCGTCGATTTTTGTTTGCCTTCTCGCAATGTCAATTTATTTGGACGGCAAAAAAAGGAAAAAGAAAAACGCCAAGCGGCGGCGATAGAAATTTAAATGTTCAAATGCCAGCAGAATTTGCTTTCAGTGAGTATTTTTATACCCGTACTCAAAAAAGAGTTAAGGGGTATATTAGATTTGTGGTAAAAGTGGATGTGTGCAACGCAGAGAAGGAAACGTTTCCGACCCCATAAAGTATATATATTCTTGATCAGCATCAATAGCCGAGTCGATATAGCCATGTCTGTCTGTCCGTCTGTCTGTCTTGTTTGACGCCTGGATCTCAGAGACTATAAAAGCTAGAGGAACCAAATTTTGTTTCTTGACTCATGTGATATCACACTGCTACAAGTGTATTTCCCCGCCCCATTCCGCCCCCATAAAGGACGAAAATCTGTGGCAGCCACAATTTTAAAGATACGATAAAACTAAAAACGCAGTATCGTAGAGAATGACCATATCTACCAGATTGCCGAATCTGAATCAGATCGGATCATAATTATAGCCAGAATGAAGAAATTCATTTTCAGTTGCTTCCTCTGCCCCCCCTCCGGCAAACGACAACGCAACTCATTCTCCTTCTCGCTCGCACACTCTGCCGCGTTCAGTGCGCGAGCAACCCCTAGCGGAGGAGATGTAGAATCTAAATGGTACATGTATAATCTACATGTTAGATGTAGAATATACATAATATATGTAGATGTAGATATCAGATGTAGCAAAAAAATGTAAAATTTTTTTTTTTTTCTAAAATTCTAAAAAATCATAAGCTCAAAAATGTATAGCTGACTGAGTACGGGTATAAGTAGAGTCGCGTCCCCAGAAGCGACTCACACATTCCTTCTCGTTTTTTTTTGCTGTTGTTGTTGTTGTTTGTGGCCTTTTGGGGATTTACAGTAGGTATTTGTGTCGAATCTATTGGCGGGAGCCCTGTGGCATGTGGAATCAATGCAAAAACAGAATAAAATACAATACAGCGGAATAGAGCAGGCTAATCGATGGAGAGTGAGAGAGAGAGAGTGAGAGAGAGAGAGTGAGAGAGAGAGAGGGAATTGAATTATGTGGATTAGTTTGTCCAATTTAAATTCGAAATTGATCAGATTTATAGTTTTGCCCATAACTTCAGCTTCGCTTTAAAACAGATTAGAACTTAATTGATTCTTATTTTGTATTCAATATTCCCTGTGGCTTGTCTCCCGTTTATCCAGTGAACATTACTCATACGCTGAGTACCGGGTCAGAAACTACTATTTAAAAGCCAAAAGACTTACGACCATAGCTAGCAAGGCCAAAACATTCTCTGCTGCTGCTGTGGCTGCTGCTTCTCTTTTAAGGCGAAAGATATGCGCCATTTACTGGCACTACATAGAGACATAAATAACTAAAATGACATGCGGCTTTTGGGCTGCCTTTCTCCTGGAGACTCCATTGTAAGTGGCTCTCCCGCTCTGCTTTTGGCCAACTCCATTTGGTCTTAATAACTCTGGCGGCCCGTGGGTAAGTAGCTGTTTAGTGGCTATTATCATCTCCGTGTGCACGTGTGGTGTAACCACACCCCGTATCCCGTACCCCGTTGTGTGTGTGGGGTGTGTGTATATTTTTGAACTCTTTAGCATCAATATTTTATGTATTATGCCAACAGATTATGATTTATAGCCATGAAGGCGCTGAAATGGTCTTCTGCTGCTCCGGTAAATGGGGGCCATGGAATGGGTATTCCCATTGTCTTGGGCGGCACCCGCTTAGAGATTCATATTTCATGGCTGAGCTTCAATTTCTTTTCCGCAGGCTGGATGGCTGGATGGGTGGCAGGGGAGTGCCAGAAATTACGCTTAAAAGTGTTTAAGTGGCGCTCGCGCTAAGTAACAAGTTGAAAAATTGCAAAGCACGCTCGTAAATTTGCTCGGCAAAAAGTGAAAAGTAATAATATACAGGCAGGCATTATAAATGGCTGTGCGCGCGTCCTTGAAGCCCCCGCTTGCCTGCTGCTGGTGCTGCTTTACGTCTGTGGATGCTTTTGGCGGTTGTGCGGGTGGACAGTCAGTCAGGTGAGTAAACGTAGGGGGAGAGGAGTCAATGGCCGTGGCCACCGCACTAGAACATCAAAGAAACAGAGAGACAGAGAAGCAGTGGCAGTGGCAGAGCCAGTGAAGCAAACGAAACAAGATATACACTCACCCACACACACACACACACACACACATATGCATATGTCCTGTGTCTATCTGTGTGTGTGTGTGTGTGAGCCAAGCATTTCAAAAGTAATTCAAGCAAGAAAAAAGTTGGGTAATTGAAAGTTTGCCCATAAAAATTTGTCGCTCTGCGAATGAGAAGGGGGCGCCTGTCTCTCTCTCTCTCTCCACCACTTTCTACCCCTCCATCTGCTGCTCGCTCTTTTGGTAACTTTTCATTATGCATCCCCCTACCATAACCGCCCCCTCCCACCGGTCTCGGGCCATTATCTGGAGCACTATCGAGGCGCCCGAAACTAGTTGAAGTGCTTGAATTGTTTACGTTGATAACTTTCCTTCTTTTTTTTTTGGTTTGTTTTTATTGAACATACCCTGTGAAAGGGTGGCAGGTTATGCAGAGAGGGTGCCTTTGAATGGGGATTCGATCAAATTGGTCAAAGCGGATGAATGTTGCGGGCCAAGAACAGAGGAAAAGGCAGCGAAAATGTCTCTCAATGCACGTAAATATATGGGACTAGTAGGTGCCCAGGGGGTGTAAATTGGTGGGTACTATATATAATTGATTGCATGGAAAATTGATTAAAATTAAACTAAGGAAATAATTCATCCTCTTGCTAGTTTTATCCCATTTCTAGGGTACACCTCTGGTCGAGTGTATTGTCCAACAACAGAGAGACAGAACAAAACAAAAGTTTGCCTGTGGCATCAGGCGTTTCGCTTCTTTCACTTGGCGGGGGGGGCTGTTGTTGGGAGGGAATGGATGGATCCATCGTGCGCCATCGGTTTTATGGGGGTCGCATAATGAAAACGCGAACGCGATTGCAGTTTAAGTGCACTTTCAATGACAACACAACAGGCTCGTTCGTCTGTCTACCCCGTTCCACCCCGTTCCGCAGGTTGGCCGGTGCGGGAAGCCACTTGAAGCGGCAACAACGAATTGTGGCAACATTGATAAATGGCTGAAGCGAGTGGAGCACATCTGAGTTCGGGGATACAAGTAGGAATACGTATACGACTGGGAGTACGAGTAGGAGTAGAAGTAGGAGTAGGAGTAGCAGTAGGAGTAGGAGAGTGTGTCCCGAGCAGCCTCAAAGCCAGGGGACAGACCACAAAATAAGCGTAAATGATATGAAGACATATCGTAAAAGCAGCAGCAAATTGGGAACTGAAACAGAAAACCCCAACACACACACACACACACACACACACACACACACACACACACATAGATATGTGGTGTGGTATATGGTTACTGGAAACAGTCACATGAGTGAGATCTGCTCAACACAATCTGTGGCATTCTGTGGTGTTGGTGGGGGCTTAACACCAAAACCAACTCACACAAAACGAGACATAGAGAGGCAGAGAGAGAGACAGAGAGATTGTGGGGGGAGGTAGAAGTAAGGAAGGAATGGGATGGAATGGGATGGAATGGAATGGTATCAGCTTCCATTTGTTGACTCTTTTGTTGGCTTTAAAACTGGACCACACAATGTAATAAATTAGATTTACAAAACTTGATGCGAGAAATGCCGCCAAATATTTAACACCAATCAACATGAGAGGCGCAACAAAGTTTTTGGGGCAGGGCAGGGCAGGGCAACAAGCGGCCAAAACTGGCTACCAGCAGCAGCAGCAGGAGGAGCAGCAGTAGGAGGAGGAAAAGTCCTAAAGCCGGGCAAAACAAAAGTAAAGTAAAGAAGGCAAAAACTTTGCCCTTTTTCACGACCGACTCTCCGGTGCTCATTGTGTCGAGTTCTTCAAGTCGTTGTCGTTGTCCCTGTCGTTGTCGTTGTCCCTGTCGTTGTTGTTGTGTCGTTGCCATCGCGCGATCTTCGCTGGGCGCAGACGAAAGGTGTCAGCAATGACAAACACTTTTAACTAACCAACTTTTGCTGCTTGTTCCGTTTCGTTTGGGTCTTAGCCAGTTGGCTGACTTACTGGCTGGTTTGCTGATTGTGTTGCCCCGATACCCAGACGACAGTTTAACCCCGGCAAACAACAAACTTCTGCGGGGTCATTTGACATGGGAACCCAAGCCGAATATACTGTGAAAGATGCTCGGCACGGATAAGCCAGCACCACCAGCAGCAGCAGCAGCAGCACTCGGAGTGTAGTCAGTGGCAAATTTTGTGGCATGTGCCGCCCGCCCGTCCGCCCGCCTCCACTGCTAATCATCGCAAAAGCAATGGTCTCGCAATCTCGTTTCCCGCTGCCCAAATGGGGCCCATCAATTTTACAACTGGAGCCGCAGCTGGGGTCGCGAGAGGTGGCAAGCAGGTAAATCAATCACACGCATTATGCGATGGCTTTGCTTTTGCTTTTGTGTGGAATATATATTCCAGCAGGCGTCTTAGATGGGGTTTGGGGTTTGGGGGGGGGCTGGGTTTATATGGATTTTGGCTTACCATATACTTTTTATGGCCCATATGGTGTGGGTGGTGGGTTGGTGGGTTGGTGGTGTTGCCTCTGATTTTTATGCCCCTCTCCGGGGCCAGTGTTATTACTTGTAAGTGGGCGAATGGAATGGATGCCACACTTGCAGGCAGCCTGCTAGGCAGCCAAGCAGCCAAAATGGAGACGCCATTTTATGAGCAGCTCTTCCTCCTCTTTATTGTACATTTCACGTCATTTGCCTGGGCTTTGTCATTCCGAAAAAGAGTCTGAAAAGAGAGAAAGGGGGAGAGAGAGAGAGAGAGAGGTGAGTGTGAGTGCTTAGGTACATTTATTAGGAGCTGTTCTGGAGAGCTCTTCTTGTTTAGCCCCCGGATGAGATGATGGTAATTGATAGTTGCTTTGTCCCCAGATCTCTTGGCTCTCAGCTATCAGCTCTCCGCTCTCGGATCTGCTGAGAGCTCTGCGGCGGATCTGCTCTGTGCAGCAGGAATAAATGGGTCCAATTCCATATAAATTATTATTATTTCTCTAATCCTTTTCGCAAGCGTTGATTTACTTTACGCGTGGATAAATGTACGAGAAAAGCTTCGCTGAATCAAATTTGTATGTAAAAAAAGATAAAAAAAACAAACCAAACCCTTAACGTTACGTTTATTATTATTTTTATTTCTTTTTTTCATTTTATTTTTATTTTTATTGCTGCTGAAAACATTTAAATTCCATTGTTACGAGTATTGTGACAAATTGAGGCGGCAAACAAAGGGAGAAATTAAAACCAGTTAGAAACCAAAGTGACAGCGAGTGTAATGAATCGACTGGCGGATATCCTGTGCTCCAGCTTTAAGCCTGACACCTGCCTGTAATCCACACACATACATATGTATATAGCCCCGTGCTTTAACGGGTTCAGCGATGTTGGATATCCCCTTGGCCTGACAGCTTCTGTTGCTGTTCTCTGCCGTGTATGCTGCTGCTGCTGCATCCCAACTCCATCTCTTTGGGAACTCAAGTGGGTCGCTCAACTGAAGACTCGACTGCGGCATACCCTGTACGCGGGCGTAGCTCCTCCTGTCCCCTTTATGGCACGTGGAGGGTATCATTTCGCTTTGACTGTTTACTGTTACTTCTGTTATGCTCTCTCTCTCTCCCCCCCCGCCCCACGCTCGCTCTGCGCCTCTGCTCCGGTGTTGTGGCTCTCGACTGCAGTCATGGCTCGTGGATTTGAATAATTGTGCAGCAGCGTGTAACGGTACATGGAATGGCAGATAGCTAGAGAGAGAGAGCGGGAGAGGTAGGCAGAGTGGGAGTGTGTGTGTGTCTGTGTTTTGTTCTCTCATTGTAGTTGTAGTTGTTACGCTTCTCTCTCGCTGCATAAACATTCTTTTTCTCACTTTCCATTGATGCTCTCCCTACCTCCCTCCCACACCCACACCCACACCCACTGTCACTCCACTCCCTCCCACTCCCTCCACTACATGCATGCACCCACTCTCTATATTTCGCTCTCTCTCTCTCTCCCTTCCATCTCTTTTACAGCGCTCAGATGTCAGCTATATTTTGTTATTGTTAAATATGTTTTGTGTTGGCTTACCCTTTGCCGGGGGAGGGGGTATGATGAACAGTTAACAGTTGATGGTGACTATGGTAGAAGAAAGCTCTCAGATCATTCCAGATCATTCAAAATACGGGAATATTAATGATAGATCGCAAAAAGCAAAACTTTTGTGGGAATAATGTTGGTAATTATTATTTATTAATTAATGTTAATTCCCTTCTGATTCATATCAAATAACAAAATCGTTCAACTATCTGCCAGGGTATCAGATGCTGCGCCTTCGAAACGGAACGGCTGCTTTTGGGTTTTATTTTAGTGCGGCTGCTGCTGCTGCTGCTCTTGCAACATTCGTGGGGCAAACAAAACGTTTGTATTTTGTTGCCGGGGATTCGTTGGGTTTGCTCTTGCTGCTGTTGCTGCTGCTGTTGCTTGTTGTTTTTGTTCAAATTAAAAATGATTTAGATGCCAGCAAATTGAGTTCACTTTGGATATAGTTTTGTGTGCGTTGTACTCTGTGTTGTGCCCTTTCCACTGACTCTGCCTCTGCCGCTGACTCTGCCTCTGCCGCTGACTCTGCCTCAGACTCTGCCGCTGCCTCTGCGTGTAATTTAATTGTTTGATATTTGCCTACACACATGCTGATGCACACACACGCACACACACACACTCGTTGCATGACATGCACTAACCGAATGTCCGTCTGTCCCGTCTGTCCGCCCCCCCTCTGTATCGTTGTTTCATTTCAATCAGGCTTTGTCCTGCTGCTCGTTTGTTTGTTCTCAGTGGATGTGAAACCAAAAGGAAAATGCAATTTCATGCTCTGCATCTGCAGCTGCAGCTGTTTGTTTCTTTTCGCTTGCACAATTGTAAGTTTTTCCATATAAATAAATGTATGCATACAATATCCCATATCGCATATTGTTTGCTCTCCAAATGCCAATTCTCCTTGTTGGCATTGCAATTAGACAGAAGGAGAAACATGAGAGCAGGCCAGCAGCAGCAGCAGCAGCAGCATCTAAATTAAGCCCAGAAGAATGCAACAAATATTTTGCTGAGGGACGCAAAAAAAAATATGTGCAACATTTCACTCTGTTTCTCTGGTGAAAGGAAGGCTGGGCCTGGCTTGGCCTGCCTTTAGATGATCTCATAAAAAAAAGTGCAGAGGCGTAAAAAGGGAATTTACGGAATGTTTGTTCCTGCTCCTGTTCCATTCTGAAGAACGGACACAAAGAACTAAACTTAAGCACCCACCCGGAAGTGTCATTTAGGAATGTGCGCCACAAGACAAGTGCCGAGAGAAGAGGTTCACCTATAGAGCAAAAGGGTCAGAGGTCAGAGCACACACAAAATCACTTAAGTCTAGATTTTTTTTTTGTTGCCGGGGGTCCCAGGTGCGAAGGGCTCAACAAATAGTGGATTATTTTCCCAAAAGAAGGGTTTCAAGTGCCGCACATCCTGTGATGGAAAGGCTGTGAAAATATTTATCCACAGCGAACGAAATCGATTGGCAGAACCAATAGAAATATCGCTTGCCGAATCGCTTTTGCGGTTCGGTATGGATGCTCCTCCACTTCACTGGACACTCTCATTTAAAGCCAACTTTTTTTGGGGTCATAAAAAAGATTCTATTCCCATTTCCCCACCTCCCCCAACACACTCTTGCTCGCTCCCCACCCCACCCTTCGCATTGTTCACATCTTTTTTTTGTTTTATGATTCCGTCTGTCCCGTCCATAAAGATTGCTGCCAAGCAATTGAATCCATTGGCCACGAGCCTGTCCTGTTCTGTTCTGTTCTGGCCTGTCCGCCAGTTTCATAATCAAATACATAACTTTATTTATGCTCTAGTCCCCCCTACCGCTACCCTTCCAGCCCTGCCCCCTGCATGTGGCGCTACAAAAAGTTTCCACCAAATTTGCTTACATTGGCGAAACAATAAAATTCCATTGTCTAGGAGCCGAGCGAGCCAAAGGAGAAAAAGGATGCTCCGGGGCTGGCCGGATGCTATTTTGTTAAGTGCGCGAATGTTGGCGCATAAATAAAAATATAATTGAGCCGAAAGCAGCATCACCCTCAGTCCCAGCTCCAGCCCCAGCCCCCTCTCCAGCCCATCCCCACAGCATTCCAGCAGCCGCACCCCCCCGCGGTAGTCCCTCGCCAAAGATCAGATTCCACTGGCCACATGGCCTTGAGGCATGCCGCTCTGCTGCTGACGATGAGGAATGTACATTCCTCCCCACCCCTGCCCACCCCCACCCTCCTTCCACCAATATTGCTATTGATTTTTGGTCCAGTTCAAATAAATTAGCTGCCATTAATTGGAAATGCGGGCAGGCGGCAGGAGATGATAGCGACTGCTGCGACTGCTGCGACTGCGACCCACTCAAGCAGTGCCCCCAACAAATTGGGGTAGCCAAGAAGATTCGTTGCCAAGGCTTAATTGATTGGCCTCGGCCTTCTTGATAGCTCCCTACACTGCCCTCCCTCCCTCACTGCCCCTTAGTTGTCATTGCATTTAATTGCATTGGCAAAAAGAGTTCCCACTGCCCACTTCCCACCCCCCACTGCCACTGCCACTGCCACCTCCTCTGCCACTGCCACTTACACAGAGCCGAACAACTATTATAAAGGTAGAGAAGACAGACTCCTCGTTGGCTTGCACCTGGCAGAACTTTTATCCCATCGAGGCAATTGAATGCTCAACTTGTTGGTGCTGTTGTTGCCCCCGACTGCTGCTGCTGCTGCTGCCGCTGCCGTTGATGTCTCGTATAATTGAATTAAATTAAAATTGCCTGGAAACACACCACCTGCCCCCTGCCGCCTGCCCCCTGCCACACTGCCCCCTGCCACACTGCTCTGCTCTCCTGCTTCACCGCTGAGTTGGCATTATTTTTTTTTATATTTTATTTTATAGAAAGTTCTGTTTGCGCGCTGGCCCATTTAAAATTTTAATTGAATTTATTGCACAAACTGTTTTGCAGTTTTTTGATTTTGTAATTAGTGCACTGTCATGTGGTGCTACATCGGAGGGGCATAGCTAAAGTAAAGTAAAGTGCTGGATGATGAGCTGCGCCCGCCCGCCCGCTTAAGTATGCTTAACAAAATAATTGGATTACAGCAAACACACAACCAATATGTATATATTGGCTATGCAGCCAGTGGGCTGTGGCATGTAGAGGAAACCGAATACACGTGCTATATCCGGACACTTGTACGCTACGAGCATCAGGCAGCAGTGGCAGGCATTTCCTAGGCATATGCAGACATAGAGAGTCACAGAGAGTCACAGAGGCAGAGGCACTTGATAATCGTTATAACTGATTCATTCCACAGATTTATTCCAAAGTGGCTTTGAGTTCAAAGTTCATGTTCAACAGAAGCCCAAGCAACGCATTGGACTTTACCTTGCGACAAAGTGCAGCCTCAATAACGAATGCAACAAGCACCCCACTTCGGCCAGTGAGGAGGCATCAATCACTCTGCACCACACACAGACAGACACACAGACACAAAAATGTCATTGCATACAAATCGCAATTAATTTGGGAGCCAGACCGATGCCCCATCACACTCTGGTGCACCACGGCCCAACCAACCAACCACCAACCGACTGCCGTGTTTGTCTTTCTCCTGTTGCAGCTGCCACTGCCACTGTTGCAGCAAAAATGTAGCAAAAGTCTCCGCCGCCTGTATCCATGGCAGGGGCAGGAGCAGGGGCAGGGGCAGGGGCATGGGCATGGCAGGGTGAGTTGTCTGCCGTGTTTGCTTGCATGTCAAATTCTCATTTCATTGAAATCGGCAAATATTGACTAAGAACTTCGATGCAATCAATGCTGCCGCTGCTGCCAGCGACTTTTGCCAACGACAGCGACGACAAATGGGCGTGGGGCTTGCCGACATAGCTGATGGCGGACAGGCAGAGTGGCAGACTAGAAAGTAGCAGATGAAAGTCCATCAGTCAAGTCAGTCAGTCAGTCCATCAGTCAGTCCAGCAGTCAGTTATTTGCATGGCAATGAAAGTGAAACTCAATCGAGAGATAGGCAGAGAGAGTTCCAGTTCCAGGAATCAAGAGAAGAAAGTGAAAGGCAGCAGCAGCCACAGCAGCAGCAGCATTTAAGCTAAAAAACGAGACTCAAAGCTGAATCTTATCTGCCAGGACAACGACCGAAATGGGAGGGGGCGGGCAGCGGGCAGGCACTCAGTTATTAAAACATTGGCCCACAAATTGCTACGCAACTTTAAGCTCAATAAACTAAACGGCTAAACGGTCCAAGGCACTCAACTCGATGCGAGTGGATGGCGCGGGGAGGATAAGACAGCGCACGGGACAGGACTCTAAGGATGCTGCTGCTTAGACACATCCTTTGAAGCCAAAGCACGGACAGGGAGCAGGCTCCAAAAACACCTGGGGAACGGAGTCGAGTCAAAAAACAATTTTCGCTCATTATCATTTCAACATATTGTATGCCCAAGTGTTTCAAATTGTTCCAAGAGTGCAGAACAGAGCAGGGCAGAGTAGAGCAGAGCAGGGTAGAACAGGGCAGAACAGAACAGAGGAGAACAGGGCAGAACAGGGCAGAGACAAGAGTCGAGAGCGAAAGAGAACAAGGACGAGGTCGCATCCTGATGAAGAAGTTTTCCCTTTACATTGTTGTTGTTGTCCGTCTGTCTGTCCGTCTGCCTGTCTGTCTGCCTGTTAGGAAAAGGTGGTTGGCAAACGGCAAACGGCAAAGCGGAAGATTGTTGTAGGTGCTGCCTGAAATCACTATGCTCATAAATGTGCCATGAATAAATTAACTCGCTGAAAAGCGGCAGAAGTCGAAAGCAGCTCCAAACCAGAAACAAAGCCCCAGCCACCGCCACCGCCACAGAGTGAGACAAAGATATTTAGCAAGTACATAGAGTCAGAGAGAGAGAGAGAGTGTTAGAGCCAAAGAGAGATGTGTGTGTGTGTGTGTGAGGAGGGGCAAGAGAATGCCTTAGATTTCAAGCGAATGATAATAATAATTGAGGCGCTGCGGCCCAAGTACACTGCTTAGATAATAACAGAGTGTAACAGTGTGTGTACCAGTGTGTGTGTGTGCACCAGTGTGTGTGTGTGTACCAGTGTGTGTGTGTGTACCAGTGTGTGTGTGTGTGCACTGAGAGAAAAACAGTCTACTACTCATTCCCCTTGCTCATTAATAATTTTCTGTCCATCTCGTTTGATCTCTGGATCTCTTCTCTCTGTCAGAGCATTCGATTGCTCTGTTATGCAGACTTCTGTCAGATAAAATTTTATTTAAAATATTTCCGACCATTAAGGACATGCACAAACCCTCGCTGATAAAGCGGAACCCTCAATATGTGCATCTGGATTATTCGGACTCATTTTTTTGTAATCCCAAAGCGGGCATTGAATTTTCATTGATTTCGCCCCGAAACAATTTTCGTAACAAACAAAACGTTTGTTGCTCATAACAACATCGTATCTCAGCCACAGAAACAAACAACAACAGGAAGCATTCGGATCGATTGCCTCTGGCGCCTCAGTCTTTGCCAGAATGTCCACACCGATGCGCACCACCCTGCGGCAGGCGTCGACGGCCGCGCGACAGCGGCAGAGCCGCACCCACCGCCTGACGCGGCACACATGCTTCACCATGAAGCGGACTGGCACCTTCCAGGTGCGCAAGTCGCTGGTGGAGTACGTGGACGCGGAGCTGACCGAAATGCAGACGTCGGTGTTCTACCAGCGCATCTTTATACTGGCCAAAAACGGGTGCCTGGAGCCGGAGCCGGAGCCGGAGCCAGAGGTGCCGACGGCCGGCCAGGAGCCGCCCCCCAGCAGTGTGCCGGAGCCCGAGGTGATAACTGTCGAGGTGGAGGCGGCGGCGGCGGCAGAGCCACCAGACGAGAACACGCAGGCCTCCACCACGGAGGGGTCGCAGCCCCAAACGGAGGGCACCTCCGAGGCCGTTACCGATGCTTCGGCGGATGGGCCAACGGTGACTCTGCCCACCCTAGACGCTGCACAGGGAGTGAACGCGGAAGCCGATCCGGAGACGATTACCCACACGTTTCGCTTCACCGACGACTTTGCCCTGCAGCCCACGGCCGGCGATGAGGAGGAGGATGAGGAGGAGGAGGCAGAGCCCGAGTCGGAGCCGGAGCCGGTCAAGGCCAAGGAGTACTTTGAGACGTTTTGCGAGAAGCTGCAGGAGCTGCACAGGAACTGCCTGCAGGAGGCCTTCACCCCGGATCCCGTCTGCGGGCTGTACATCTACATGGGCGACTACGCGCTGCTGATGCTGGAGACCAGCGAGGACATGATGGGCTGCTACTGCCGCCAGCTGCGGGCCTGCAGCGACGAGTTCTGGCTGAGCAATCGCGTCTTCCACATCGAGGATCACATCACGCAGCTGTACACCAAGGAGCTGACCTTCCGTCGCATTCCGGGCGTCTTTCTCAACGAGAAGTTCCCCACCTCCACGCCCACGGATGAGTACCTGATGGGCAAGCAGCACATGATCATCAAGGAGAAGCTGTTCATCATCTGTCGCCTGATAGCGGAGAGTCTGGCGCCGCCAGAGCCCATCCACGATGCCGACCAGCTGCTGAGCCGGAGTCCGAGCATCAGCCAGAGCAGACCCACCTCCGTTCATCGCCTGCGCCTTGAGGAGGAGAAGGAGCAGGAGGAGGAGCTGGAGCAGGAGCAGGAGCAAGAGAAGGGGGAATTGGGGCGGTCCATCAGCGCAGTGGGTTCCCTGAAGTCGAAGAGCTCGCAGCATACAGAGTTCCTGGCGGTGGACGTCTACCGCAAGTTTCTGCCTGAGATCCAGCGCATCGAACTGGTGCTGGCCTCCACGCGCTTCTACTTCACCCTGGCCGAGTTCTCCGATCTGTACGGCAGTGCACCGCAAACGCCCGACGAGGACGGCCTCTTCTGGCCCATCCAGAACAACTACACGCCGCCCAACATCTTCCGTCGCACGCCGTTCGACATCAACCTGACCTTTGCCGACTATGTGGCGGACAAGATGAAAACGGATAGCGATCACCATAGGGCGTCCCAGGAAGACTTCGGGGAAGAGGAGGAAGTACCCCAAGCCAAGCAGCGACCCGCAGAGGAGGATGACGAGGCGCAGGCACCGCCACCGCCAGCAGCTGATTAATCAATCTCGTTCTCTCTCCTCTCTCTCTCTCTCTATCTCTATCTCTATCTCTATCTCTCTCTCTCTATCTCCCCCTCTCTCTCTGTCTGTCTCTCTCTATCTCTCTCTATCTCTCTCCTTCTCTCTCTCTCTATCTCTCTCTCTCTCTCTCTCTCTCTCTCTCTCTCTCTCCTCTCTCTCTCTCTCTCTCTCTGTCTGTCTCTCTCTTACAGTATTCAAAATTATTCAAAAACTAAGAGCGAAATATTTGGACTTTGTTCTCTATCTGCCTCACTTTCTCTCTTTCTCTCTCTCTCTCTGTTTTAATTGATTTTTAAAATTATAAATTTAAGAATTTTCTTTGTTCTTCTGTTGTATATTTTTTTTTTCGCATAAAAATAAATTCTGATTTTCTTTTAATTTTTTGACTTCACTTCAAGGTTAGGCCTGCAGCTAAGCAAATTTGATTCTTAATTTTTCTGTGGTATATTTCCTAACCTTCGGTTAAAATTTGCACCCTTCCACGAGCATGCGTGCCCTTTGCTGATCCTGTTGCCCTGATTTTTCGCCAAGTGTAGCAGCCATCAGCCCATCAGCGCATCAGCCCATCAGACATCGTGTGGAGCGGCAGTTGTCGTTGTTATCTCTGGGACTCTCGCGCGCGCTCTCTTGGCTACAATGTTTTCGGCTTTGTGCACATGACTGCATCCCATTTCATGTGGGGATGGGGTATGGGGCATGGGGCATGGGCAATGGCAGTCTGTTGTATGGGGACAGGTTGTCTTGTTTTGGCTTGCCACTTGAATGGCTCGACTTTGTTAACATAAACATAAATTTGTGTGTGTGTGTGTGTGTGTGTGTGCTCAGCCGCGGAATACTCGTGCGAGTGAGTACGGGTACTTGTACTCCTCTCTTTCTCTCACTCTCTGTCCTCCTTCATGTGTGGAAGGGAATGGGTTTTTGGCTTTTAACATAAACCGCATCAGACGCCAGCTGTCAGCTGTAATACCGTTGGAGCCTCCACTCCAGCTGTCAAAAGGCGTGGCTGCCATTTAAAGTCACTCGACAACAAAAAAAAAGAAAAACACACACACACACACGAAAATAAAAGGAAAAGAAAAGCAGAGGCTTAGTTTGGCGGCAGAGGAAGGAAGGAACCCTTCTTCAAAGGGGCTACCAGAAAGGGTGCCAGATATCTCTGCGGCTGCCCTCGCTGGGCCTAAACAATTAAATTAAATTAAATTAAATGAAATTACTGCAAAAGTAAACACAACACAACACAGCGAGAGGGGAGGATCAAGCGAAAACATGTTTAGAAATTGAGCTGAAAAAGTTAATTAAACTTTGTGGCCTGGCCTCGGGACTGCGGCTGTGGCTGTGGCTGTGGCGATGACTTTGCCTTTGCCTTTGCCTCGTTGGCTGCTTCTGATGTTTCCAGCCAGGACATGCACTGACAAGGACACAATTCAATCAAGCGCCACAGCCGGAGACGTAGAGTGTCAGCGCATAAACAAGGACATTGCACTCCTGGGTGCCACAGCCACTGGCACAGCCACTGCCTGCAGGTTGCTCCTATGTTTGATGCCCCTCAAAAAAAAAACGAGAGGAAAACAGCCAAAACATTTTCCGCTGCAGTTTTCATAAACTGCCAGACAACGGCGGGCAAGGCCAGCCAGGGACAGGCCAGGGACAGGCCAGGGACAGGCCAGGGACAGGCCGGGACAGGCTGGGACAGGCCAGAGCCCGAGCCAGGCGAGACAATGACGATAAGCCGCTGCTGCAGTGCAGCTTCTGCCCTGCCCTTTGGCACGCTCCACTCTGCAGCAGTCTCCACCAACTCAACTCTCTGGTGTGGACACGAATGCGGCGGCCCTGGACTCGTAGTACAAGAATTGTTGTTTCTGTTTCTGTTTCGGTTTCGGTTACCGTGTGGCCGATCCGCCCGGCCCCACAACTTGAGGCGCAAACTCATAAATTACACGACAGAGCCCCCCCCCCCCCCTTCAGCCCCCTTTCCACTCAACCACAAAAAACGAGTCTAAAAAGAGTCTAAAATGACTTTTGGCTGCTGTGGTACTTCGCATGTAGCACTTTTGCTGCTTCCTGGTGCTGCTTCTGCTGCTTTTGCCGCTGCTCTGTTGTGGCTGGCGCTGCCTCCATCAAAAGTGAAACTGTTTGCTGCAGTCACTTTAGGGGCGTTTTGGGCGTGGCCTTAGAACTGCTCTGAGGCGCCAAAGAGCAAGGATAATTTGAGCCAAACTCAATTTGCTATACCCTGACAAAAAAGTGCAAAGAAAATGACGAAATCTCTATGCCTTTTGGGGTCTCGCCCGCTTTAAAGGTTGTCTGGCAGAAAATTTAAGGCATACATTTGTGGAGGGAAAAGTCTTTGGGGCAGACCCATTCTAAAGGCTAAAACTAAAACTATAGAAAATAATACTCAGAGTATGCCCCAAAGTCTTTCCCCAGCATAGTATACACATCATTGGATCGTAAGCCATTCAATAAACCCTTTCAGGAGGCAGCTGCCCGGATTAAAAGTTGAGCAAAACCTACAAAATGTTAATCTGTGATACGAGTTTCCAATGAAGTTTGCTTTGTCTATGTGGGGCGATAGGGCACTGAAAACTTCGGCCATTCCTTCCCGCTCGCGTTTGTCGGTAAACAGATAAAGACAAAGTGAGAGAAACGAGAGATAGACAAAGAGAGAGAGAGAGAGAGAGAGTGGGAGAGAAGTGAAGTGAAAGAAAGTGAGCAAAGAGTGAGCAAACAGGAGCAACTGTAGCAACTGTAGCAACTAAAATATATATTATGTGCAATGTAGACAAAAACGAAAACAATTTTGCGGCGCGATAAACGAATTTCCAGACTTTTGTTTTTGCCTGCCTGCCTGCCACCCCCCCCAAAATTGCAGCAGCAGCTTAGTAGAATGGATTTTTTTTTGGCAGCAAGAAGGCAAGTCAAGGATAACATAGCTACATTCTACAGATTTGCAGGCAAACAGCAGAGAGGCTGTCCCGGACCCAGACCCAGACTCGGTCTCTGACTCTGGCATGGCGTGGCGTGGCGTGGCATGGCATGGCATGGCCTAAAGCGGAATTGTAGCCAAGACAGGGTGGCAGTGGAACGGGGAGCGGAGTGCATCTGACACGAGTTTAGATTGCATTTCTCTCGCCCCCCGCACCACCACCAAAACTCTCGACAACATTTGCGAACATTTCGAAAGCCTCTTCTGCAATGGAGAGCAGCAAAACGGAATCCCCTAAACGAGTTGAGAATTTCAGAGAGAGATAAAATCTCGAGAGAGAGAGACAGAAAAAGAGAGAGAGAGAGCTGGGATACGGCTGGATAAGATCTGCCAGGAGTGGAGCTGCAATTAGTCAAATGAGCAGTGGATGGACCCATATATCACATGGGATAACACACACACACACACACACCTACACACAATCAACTTCTGACATAAACGAATATATACGATTATACGCGTACGTGGGAGATGTAGGGCCCCCAAGGCGGCGGCGGCGGCAGCAGAAAAAACTTTGCCATAATTTTTGCCAAAATATATATATATTGACTGGGGGCACCCAGAAATCGCGTGGGCCTCTGCCTGGCCTCGTTCATGCGGCCCACATTCATCATACGCCTAGTGCGCCGAAAGAGCTCTTTAAATCAAATTAAATGCTGCCCAAGTTTATTTCCCAAAACAAATTCCCTTTGCCATGTGGCTTCGCCTTTGCCAATCTGTGTGACATGGTGGCCCCGAACAAAACAAAAAAAAACTTTGCCCATAAAAATGCTCAAAATGTCCTTAAGCCGCAGGACGCGTCTATAAATCCAGTGGAAAAAATATGAAAGAAATTAAAAATAATATGGCACATAAAACCGCAGCGCAGCGCGCGCACAGCCGGGATGGGTGGGATGGGAGGTAAGTAGTGCGTGAGGGGCGGGTCGGTGCGGCGCGGTGCGGTGCGGCGCGGGTTTGGTTGTGGGAAATTAAGCGTGAAAAAAATCAGTGAAAATGCCTGGAAAATAGAGCGTAACATATCCGCAGCGACTGACTGACGTGACGGCTGAAGGACCTGGCTACTGGCTGACAGGCTCTGTCTGGCCTTGGCTGTGCAGACCGGATTTGCCACCCCCTTCCCCTGCCCACCACCCTAGCATCACGGGCAGAGGATTTTCCATTTCCATTTCCACTCTGATGTCGAGCGGAGGTTTTAATTCGGCCATTAAGGGTATCTCCGTTGCGATTGTGTGTGTGTATGTGTGTGTGTATGTGTGTGTGTGTGTGTCTGTGTGTGTTACATGTGCATAACTTGTATGTCCTTCCAGCCCCTTGCTCCACCCCCACTGTGTGTGATTCCCTCTTTTGTTTATCTTGAATTTGTCTGTCGCCATTTTATTTTTTACACTTTTTCCACCACCACCACCCCCCCGCCCCTGCCAGCACCCTCATATTTATTATCATGTCGGTTTTCGGTTCTCGTTTCCGTTTCCGCTGTCGCTTTCCTGCTCTAATGAAATCCTCTCCTCCGAGTGTCCCTTTCCTTTTTATTATTTTGTTGGATTTTCGGAATGGAAAATGTTTATTATGTGATTATGCTCGGAGTTTAGCGCCCGTAGCGCCCTGACTCTGGTTCTGGTTCTAGCCCAGAAATTTCCTCCACAGTTCCACATTTTCACATCCATTTCCCGGCATTCTGAATGCTCCGCTTGTGACTGTTGACCGGCGGCGGCGGATTTGGCCTTTTGCCTGAATTTGTTGGTTGTCTTTTCCCGGGCTATTCCTTCTCTCTGCTCTCTTGTTGTTGTTGTTGTCGTTTTCCTTTCGTTCTTTAAAGCTTTGTCATCCCAAATGGAGGGAGAGGTATAATATTCTGTCGTCCCTGACTGGGCGGCAAAACTGCGTGGGCCAGTGGATGGGGATGTGGATGTTGCCGTTTCAAATTACATTGTTACAAGTGTTTTGCTGTGCCCGGTGCCTGTTACCCGGTACCCGGTCCTGTCATCTTTTTTTTTTTAAAGCAACTCAACTGCAGCCAGGATGATTTATTTGTAAGTGGGAGGGAGAACAGAGAAGAGCTCAAGCCGCCTGCCGCCTGTCTTGTTAATCCTAATGCTAAAGTTCGTCGAGTCGCGGCAGATATCAGGTTCGAGGTCCCCATAATTGGATGGACTTTCCGAGAAGACGCCCCGATGGGCAGGCAGGCAGGCAGGCAGGCAGGCAGGGGGCCACAGCCACTCATTAGGTCTCGTAGTGGAAGAAAGGGCTGCGTCTTATGCGAGCGATTCCCACTTGAATGCCGAGTTCATTGGTTCTCAAGCACTTTCATAAATATTTTTAGCACTAAAAATGCTGTCAAAAACACTTCAAGTGCGGGATTTAATTACGAGTATATATATACAACGACTATTTGTGTATAAATCCTTGTATAAAGGGAGATTTTGCAGGGGTGGGAGGGGGGTATGTGTGTGGCAAAGTGCTTAGAGAAAGTAGAGAGTGTTGGGAGCGTAAAGCTGGAAGCTTGTGCTAGGCAAACACACATCATAGTGGCGAACATTTGGCAAAGTAAACATCAAAAGGAAAATCATTAAAAAGCATTTCCAAGTCAAGCACACAGCAGGGGGGTGGGGTGGGGTGGGGTTTATGGGTTGGATGCTGAGTGGGGGTAAGTGGCGTGGCGTGGCGCAGGGTGAAGCGTTGTGTTTACTTCCTCCTGCTGCAAGTTTCTTACGACTACCTCCCTGTGTGTGCGCCTCTCAAATGCTCTGTAATTAACTGATCTGTCACATAAGTCGCATTAACACAATGTTATAAATGTTCCTGCAGCTGCTTCCTTGTGTCTGCCACACCCATCTGCACGCCACGCCTGTAGCTCACCCTTTGTGAGAGTCGTCCCCCCCTCGCCATTTTGGTGGCAGGCAGTGCATGTCAGGCACATTAAGTATACGCCACATGCGACACATTTACATAGATTTGCAATGTTCGTGGCATACAAATTTGTGGCAAGCTTATTAATTCAACCACGTGACTCGCGCCCCCATACCGCTCTAGTCCTCTGCTACCCTCTGTACCTTTCTGGTTCTCTTTCTGGTTTATTGCTAAAGTTCTTTTGTGCTTCGAAAGTTTGTCCTGCCTGAACTTGGCTCAAAGCTAGATTAATTAAAGCCAAGCCAAGGATTCTGTTTCAGTGTCTGCTGCTGGCTGCTGATTCTGTTAAAGCCTTTCACTCCTTTTTGCCGGTTAATTAAATTGCGCTGGCTGTGTGCAACCGTAAATTGAGTTAATTTGCACACAAATCCAATGCTGCATCAAAGCCGCAAATTATCTTCAATATTTTTCTGTGCTGTGCCACATTCCTTTATGTAGCTTTTTTTTTTCCGCCCGTATTTGCGGCATGTAATGCCACTTGCTTGCTGGCGAAATTGAGCCGGCAGAAATGTTGGCAGCAACAACAAAAAAATAGCGAAAATCTGGTTGGCTTTTTGATTTAATGCTACGGCGACGACCGTGACAAACGATATGGAAACCGGTATGCAGACCGGATCAGTGAAAACAGTGAACAAAAAAAACAGTAACGAAATGTACGAAGAGGTGTACATACCCTTTCCAGATACTGTGTTCATTCCTGTGGCAGGGTTTTTTATCTGAAAATTTAAAGAGAAAAATATTGAAATTTGAGATAATTAATGTTTGTATTTGTTTGTATCAGCAGAAACAATAGAGATATAGAAATACTACATATGGGCAGTTCCTATCTGGCGTTACGTTACATTCGTACGACAAAATGTTGAAAAAAATAGTCAAAAAGCTGAAATTTGGAAAAAAGATTATCCTCGTTGAATATAATTTGGTTAGACCTACATTCTACCTACCTAATAATCGAACGTACGGTTTTGAAGATATAAGCCAAAGTATGACCTAAAAGTGCGTTACATAAAACAGAAGTGGTTTTCGAGGTTGGCGTACAAAATGGCAAAACTCTGCGAATTGGATAGGGCTATCTGTATAAAATTTTTTGTGCTAATAAATGAAGTATTGAGAGTTAATTTTCAAACTTATTAAATGTAAAAACTTTTCCTGTTTTTTTGTTAAAAATCCGCGGAGGCATCTGGCGAACGTTACTGGCGTTACGTTACCAAATTCCGCGATTATAAAAGCCTAAAAATATACTGTTAGCCAAGGTCCGACCAACGTTCTGATAATGGTTTTAGGTAGTTTAATATATTAGAAAGACTTTAAGGGGAAACTTTTATCAAGAATCATCTTCTTCCTAGGAGATAATAGTAAAAGAAAATATGTCTATAAAAATACCAGAAAATACCAAAAACGTGAACTTTTGCTTATTTTCATAGGTTTTAGGATGAAAGTTAATGAAATTATATGTGAATAAAGTAAATTAGTTACCTTTCAATAAATATAGAAAAAAATATCCGGAAAAAATTATATAGAAATCGGTTTTTATTGACTTTTTATGATTTTTGGCCTGGTGGACCTTTTGGCGGAACTGCCCATATATGGTGGAGTTATACAATCTTGGATGTGCATATATTCTACCTGCCACACAATAAAAAAGCATCTCAGGGCTGTACATATGGGAATCCTCTGCTTTGTAGCAGCCAAAATGCATGGCAAATCTCTCATAATAATCGAAATACCCTCAAGCAGAAGTTCCTCCATTTGATTTCAGATTAATGATTGCACTTTTACCACCACCCCCCCCAGTAGTTAATAGGGTACTCAATAGGGGAATGGGCGCAAGAGCATAATGTTGCAGTCGCGCGTTAATAAGCGAAATGGCATCCGATAACGGCTTAAAAAATGCCTGAAATAAAATCGCTACGACCTTAACCTTTAACCCCCCGACTACTGGCATTTGGGATTGGCGATTTGGGTTTGGGGGATTGGCGTTTTGTGGTTTTGTGGTTATGCCCCATTATAAATTCTGTGATTGTTTGAATGGTGAAATAAAACCAGAACACGCACACAATTATCACCACAAAATATTGATTATTAAGCGCATTTCAAATGCCGTTTAAGCGACGCCTTCTCCTTCCCACACTTCCTGCCACTTATGGGACACATCTGCAAAGAGAGAGAGAGAGAGAGAGAGAGAGAATGCTGCCACGTTGTAGTTTTTGTATTGAGCGGCGTTGGGGGTTGGCTCCTCCTCCATCTTCCTTCCCTTGGACGCTTCATTTGTGTTTAGCAAATTTTTTGCTCTGCTGCTTTGCATAACAAAAGTGACAATCTATGTCTTTGTCTCTCCATTGCCATCTCTCTCTCACTCTATCTCTCTGTGTGTCTCTTTCTGCACTTGCTTAGAATGCAGAGCGCCATTTGCGGCTGCTAATGAAGTAATTTCCAGGCATATCACGCATAATCCAAAGCACGTGAGCTACTTACAATGTAATTCGTTGTCTATTTGTCTGATATTGAAAAACGTTGCCCCGTTGTGGCACAGCCACAGACAGGATGGTTACGGTGCACGTTTAGGGCGGATTGGGTGGTGTCTGGGGGAGGGTTAAGCCACGCCCTCAATCATTCCACCACGCAACATGAATGCCATGCCACAGAATGCTGCATACACGCAGCAATCTAAGCCAAGCCAAGTCAGGGTCGGGTGGGGTTGGCTCTGACTGTTCAAGTGCAATTCATTGTGATTATTACGTGCCATGGCATTGAAAATGCTTACTTCCACACATTGATTATCCATCGATGATCCCCCTGCCCCCCCATCGATGCCAGGCACAGAGTTCTGTGGTGGCTGCCTGCCATTCTTGTGCTATTAATTGCTAACAGCATATTTCAATATGTGATGCCATAAGCCATGCCCCCTGGCACACAGTTTGACCATTAGGCAGGAGAGGGCGGGGCAGGGACAGGGCAGGGATAGGGCAGGGACAGGCAGGGCAGTGCAGGGCTGAACAGGGCAGGGCAGCCAAACAGCTTAATAACTTAATGCCCGGAAAAGTTTCACACCCGCAGCGAGAAAGTACAAAAGATAGCTATACGGACGGGGGTAGGTGGCGTATATGGATATCCACCTCACACCCCACCAATAAGTAGCGATTACAATCTCAATTACTTCGACCTTCTGCGGCTGCCACGCCCTCACCAGCACATACACACACACACATACAGACAGACAGACAGACAGACAGACACTAATAAACAGCAGGCCACATTGATGGGCAAATTAACTTGAATGGATCCCTGTGCCCTGCCCTGCTCGCGGCATTGGGATTGTGGGTCTAATCTCTGGGGCCGAACCTACTCTAATTATACGCCAAATAAAACTCACTTCGCAGAGCAACTTGTTTCCGCTTGGGGTTCAATATTTATTGACTCGAAATGAGTAGCAGAAGCAGCCTTGACTTGAGCTTTGTTTTTGCCTAGTTTTGGGACATGCTCATGGACTTAGCTGTAAGGTAAAGGGAAAGCGCTCTCTCTTGTGTGTGCCCGCCAACTAATTGGGTTTTAGTTGCATTCGAAACTTTGGTGTCTAAAGTTAAACATTGCTTTGGGATTTGTACATTTTCGTTGTTGTTATAAATAGTTATTAATGAACAGACAGACAGACAATCGCTTAGCTTTTAGCCCGAACAAGTAGAAAGGGTTTTTGTTGCTGGTCTTATTTCTGCTTTGAAATCTCCGTTCGCGGACGCGGCACAATCCATTTTTGCACAAATAAAATGCAACATGACAGAAATATTGCCATAATTATATTTGAAACTAATTTCCGTAATGAAAACATTCTGAAGTGAAGCGTTTGAAGGTCTGCGCGGAATTAAAGTAAGGCAAATCTTTTTAAATTGAATCCCGCACAGAAATTAGTTACAGATTATCGTAAAATTATAGCGACTAAAATGAATGATGGGGAATGATTTTGTGTGCAAATAGTATTTCTTTCACACAAGTTTCCTCATCGATGCTATCGTTTCCACATCCAACTAAATTCCCATTTAAATTTTTGAGCATTTTGCTACCCATTTGGGGGAATCCTTTCCTCCATCCTGATAAGCTTATCAACTGTGTGACAAAATGAACATAAATCAATGGCTGCTTACGCCAGACACAGACCCAGACCCGAGGCAAGCTGATTACGTATACGCCGCGAGTGACGCACTTACATTATATTGCTCTTAAGCTCTTCGCTCTCTTTTTTTTCTTGATCCTCTGCTCTTTTTGCGCTCTTTTGGCTGCATTCTTTAGTGTTATTTTTTGCAGGCTGCCACAGCAGCAGCAGCAGCAGTAGCAGCAGCAAGAACAACGCAAAATATGAGCATAAAAAAAAAATGCTTCAGGGTTAAGTTATCTGCGTTGTCTGCTGAAGCGTGCCACATGGCGTATGCGCAATTTACGAGAAGTGCCCGGAACGGCGTGCACACAGAACTATGTGTTTATTGGGTCCTCCTCCATGCAGCGGAGTGAGCGGGGTAGAGAGGGTGTGGTGAGCATAAAAGTTGTGTGATAATAACGAGAGAGCTAATGCCGGCACTCAAAACACTTTCGCCCAACAGTTTTACAGCCTTATGCTTGCCTCATAAACTGGACCTGCTGCATAAGCTGTGCGGCGGCATGCATGAGGCTGGCTGGCTATGAGATTTCTACATGCAACTTAATTTCTGGCAAGAGTTACTCGCACATCAGCAGCAGCCAGCCAGCAGCCAGCAGCCAGCAACTGCAGTGGCTAAAAATTGCTCTCTGCATAAAGCACTGAAGTGTGCGTGTGTCCTTAAATTTTCCACTCTGGGGACCACAGCACGGGCGAAGGCACTGCCACTGCCACTGGCACTTCTTCTATATGACCCTCAGAGCCGACTTGTCAACATTGTGTATGTGGGCTGCTCTCTGTAGTGCAGAGCAAGGGGCGGCGGGTATGGCTCTATTAACTATGGTGACATCAGAAATGTTTTGCGTCTTGCAGTGCATTTCGCTGGGATGCATATGCATGGCAAGTAGCTTTTCCATGCCACAAAAGTGCATTCAATCTTCGTGTGGCAGTTGGTTCTTTTCCTGGTATTTGATATTGAAATATCCCACAGCACAGAATGGGTTCAGTGAGTGAGTGAGTGAGGCCTCACTCTCCACCACCCACCCCCACTTCAGTCCCAATTTGTCGTAGTGGAAGTCTGTCCGGAAAATCTGTGCAATGTGTGCCCCACATTTGTCTTTCATTTTCATTTTCATTGTTGATTGTGCATTGTGAACTGTGCACTGTGCATTGTGCCCCCCCCGTTCTGTGTACTGCTGTGCTGTGCTTTGTTTTGAATTTTTATTTGACATTTAATGGCATTTGTGGCATATTTCGTGCTCTGTCGCTGTTGCTTTTCACAATTTATTGCATTTCATATGATCCATTCATGCCTCCTCCTCTCCCTGTCTCTCTCCCTGTCCCTCTTCCAGCTGACCAGAGTAATCTTTGCCGCTTTTGGAAGGCGCGCGACTTTTGACGCTTAATGGTTCGCTTCAGCGTTGCATGCAACAGTTGCGGCTTTTGTGTGTGTATGAAATGCTTGTAATTTAAGTGCACTCTGCCTTGAACTTGTCCGTTGAAGGGGAAAGGGGGGAAAAAAAGCGAGAGCGGAGGTCAAGGAAAAGCGCATTAAAAGCGCATTTTTAATTAAAATGAAAGCAATGCTGAGGGCTTTAGGGAAATGTGAGCGCGAGAGCTGCCTGCCATATCTGCTGTCTGTGGCTCTTGGTTTCCTTTACAGATGCACGAGACGCGAGACGTAATAAAGATTTAAGCTGCTGACCGCAGAAAATTAATTAAAATTATTTAAACATTTCCCCCAGAGGCACAGAAAGAGAGAGAGAGGCTGAGAGAGAGAGAGAGCTGCAGCAGGACATGGATCAGGCGATTCATAAAGCAGAAAGAAACATGACCAAAGTCTTTCGAATGATGATGGCTGATGGCTGTGGGGCATATATACATAATGCATTTCCACACGCAAAATGTTGCTGCTATTTGAATTGTGCAAATCGGAGTTGTACGTGCCTCCAGAGAGCGGGATAGCAATGCACTTGGAACAGGAATCGTGGCAAATGTTTAGCCAAGCGGCTGCCCATACATTCCCCCCAGCCACCCGCAAGCATCAGCCATGCCCCATGCCAATGTGTGCTCTTCCATGTGTGTGTGTGTGTGTGTTTGTGGTTCTTTGAGCCAACATTTGGGTATCCCTGTTTGACTTTGGCTCCACGCAGTCGCACACACACACACACACATTTCGCTTACATTTTCGCTTTATTTACTTGCATAGAATTCAGTTTCAGTTTTTTTCGCGCTGCATACTTTGAGGCATTCACTTGAGAGTGTGCGTGTGTGCTTGTGTGTGTGTGTTCTGCTGGCAAACGTTTTGCCCCGCCTGGCTGACTGCCACTTTGACCCATTTGGCAGGGGCCAAAGCCAAGCCAAGCAGCGAGCCAGTCGCTCGAATCACAACGAAAATGCCACACGGCATTTGACTTGCCTTCCATTCGACTCGACATCCATTTGCATGGACCGAAACGGCGAGTCGTAAACGAATTGAAAGTTTCGCCCAGCCCAAGCACAGTTACCCCCAGCAGTTTTCCACCCAGCCAAACGTAAGACAGATACGTTAGCATACTGCCGACAGTCAGTGTTTGGCCAGTGTGTGATTATATTGTGAGGGCCACCCCAAAATTTATAGGCTTTCGATAGTTTATTGAGTGGCTTGTAATAAACATTTTCTGGTTTGGCCTCTGGAACAGACTCCAACAGACAAGCAGACAGACAGGCAGGCAGACAGATGGACCGGGCGGACAGCCGGACTACATGTCGTATGCGCATTATCTACAGGCAAATGGCATGTGAGGCATGTGGCGCCTGGCTGTCCTGTTCGGAATGGACTCTACTACTGCCAGCCAAAGCCCAAACAATTCCAAGCATGAGAAAATTCTCTACAGAATTTTCAAAGAAACTTTGCTCAACTTAATTGATTTTTAATTTTTAATTGCAATGATATATATTTCTAATGGCTTTTTATTGATGCTATTTTGTGGCTTGTTTCATTTAATCGAATTTCACAGAAAGCCCAAAAATATACAAATGGTTGGGAGTGGTGGCCTGTGGGAGGATATTTTTTGTGACCACAAATAAATCGACTTGGAAATCCGCTTAAAAATATATATATGTATATATCAATACGGTTATACTATATGCACACACTGGATGCGAATGGATATAGTACATGTTTGTGTATCGCACAATGGGAATACATTTATATTATATTGATATTTTTATTGTATTTACTGGGCATTGATAATTTCATTTTCGTATTCGTATTCGTTTTCGTTACGGTTTTTATTTTGCTTCATTTTCGGTTGATTTAAATTCGAATATTTATTTATTATTTATTATGCGAGCGAGATCTGCTCTGCTCTGCTCTCGCTCAGTGGCTCTCCGCCTCGTTTGGCAATTTGATTAAAATTTATTCTGTATTCTGTATTCTTTATTCCGTTTTTTTTCCCCCCTTCCCAGTTGGGGTTTTTGGTTTGCAATTTTTTTTTTTTGTTTTCTGTGTATTTGTGCATTTTAAATGCATCAATGCAGATGCAAAGTTTTTGGCTGGAATGAATATGTGGTGGGAAAATTCGTTTTGGCGGCAGTCAGTCGCTTCATTAGCGCTGCTTAATTGCCTCGCATTCAGTGCTGAACGGTTTTCAAATGGTTTCCTTTGTTTTTTGGCCGCTTGCCTCAAGCAATTGTCGGGCACAAATGATGATGATATGGTAGGATAATGAGTGCCAAATGGATGGGAAAACAGGCACACAGGAAGGCAGGCAGCAAGACACGAAGGAAGGAAGGCAATTTGCTGTCATTTTGTAAATCATTTACATGCCATTCCCTGCCAAAAACGTTTTGCTAATTATCATCGCTGCTGTGGAAGTTCGAGTAGCGAAAATGTGCACTGAAAATTCCACTGCAATTGTTACTATTGTTTTCAGAAATCTCCCATTACCCCACACCCGCTGCAATGCCATCATCCCAGGCATCAATTAAAGACTCAATAAAATTCAATTGAATTCTCTGCTCTGCTGTGTGCTCTGCTGTGTGCTCTGTCTCTCCGATTGAGCCACTAATTGAACGTCCATAAAAGTCGTTTTCGATGCGGTTTAACTAGCATTGAGTCAGTGACTGTCAAACTGTTTGGCAAACTGCAAAATTGTCAATTTGCTTGTGCGGATGCAATCGCAGATTGCAGGATGGTTGCAACACACAAAAAAACAAAACAAAAAATGCTGATGGCATTGAGAATGTGGAAAATTGCAGTAGAATATGCCATATAAATGGATGTTGGGTGGGGGGAGACAATTAAACGAGTATTTAAGTTGAAAATTGCAAAACGGGGAAATATAAAATGGGGCGAGTCTACAGCATTACTTAAAGCTAAGAAAGGTACTAAATATATTTGGAAGAGAATACGATTGGGAATGTGAGTTGCAGGAGTAAGTCTTGGGGAACTTTAATTTAAACTCGATTTATTTTTATGCAAGAAAGTTAATCAGAGAATGTTCCTTCAGCATTAACTTTCCATTTTCAGGATGCATCCAGGGGCCTTTTTTACTGATTAATCAGCCGCATTATTCTCTTAAAGAAAACACTGAATATTCGCATTTCCTTCAAGCATTTGTCAACTCTTTTGTGCGTTCATTTCGTGGGAGCAGCACACAAAATACACTTGTGGCAACATCATTGCTGCTGCTGCAGCCACAATGGAGTCGCCTCCTATTTTCGGTATCATTGCGCAGTGCAAAATGCTTGGGCAATTAATACAAATGACGCTGATGAGCGGCGGGAGGATGCTGATGATGATGATGCGGATGAGGATGCGGATGAGGATGATGCTACAGCAGCAAAAGAAGCTGCCACGGGATGCCTGCCGCAATGGGAAGTGGCAGTGGGAAGAAATGGCTGGGGAAAAGCTGCAACTGCAACTGGCAAACTGAAAGCCAGGCCAAAATGAAATGGCGAATGGAGCAACGAAGGGAGCGGCGCCACTTCTTCAGCAGAGGCAGCAGCTGCAATCTCAACTTCACATGCATGAAAAATGCAGCTCATCTTCTTAATGCGCGCGACGTGCCACGGCAGCAGCAGCAGCAGCAGCAGGAGGAGGGCGACAACATGGCAGTTAGTAGGGAAGAACGGGTAGGAAAAGGAGGAGCAGCAGCACCAGCAGCAGCAGCAATGAAAGCAGCTTACAACCGAATGGATGCTGCTTACTCACACCCCCCTCTCCGAACCCGTGTACCCTTCTGCTGTATCCAACCCTACCTACCCCTCCACTCTGTTGACTTGTTTGTTTGGCTTGGATTTTCCCCATAGCTGTTGCTGAACATGCTCTTTTGGCTGCCTTGGCAAATTACCGTCAATGGGGGGTGGTGCATGTGCGGAGTGGGGATCCAAGTTTCTCTGTCTGTGTCTGTGTGTGGATTAACGCTTTATAAATTGTTAATTATAATGAGTCCAGCAAGATAGAGAGAGAGAGAGAGCAGAAGAGAGAGAGAGAGAGAGAGAGAGAGCAAGAGAGATCCACTAACAATAGCGACATGATTTACATGAGAGCTTAACGGTTTACTATGCGGGCAAAACTAGTTCAGAAATGGCAGCAGAAGGAGGGGGAGGTCCAGATCCAGCTACGAGTCTGTGGTATATACCCCCGCCCCCTGGATATCAGAAGCCATGGCCATCGCCATCGCCACTCGCTGTACCTCATTATGGCCAGGATGCTGTGTGTGTGTGTGTGTGTGCCAGGATGTTGCCTTTGGGCGCGCTTATCCGACTGACATTTCATTTTTACACATCAACAGCTGCCGAAGCAGCACAGCACAGCACTAAGGAGTGGTGTGGAGTGGTGTGGAGTGGAGTGGATCGGAGGAGCACGTACCCACACGACCCCCTGCGGCCATCATGCGAGTATGAACGAGATATGGAATTAGAATTACAGCCATAACAATCACGATTATAATGACAACGAACTCGTTAGGAATAGCAGCAGAAGCAGCAGCAGGGGGCAGTAGTGGGATGGGTGAGGCTGGTTGGATTTGGTGCGGATAATTTATATGCAGCTCAAGTGATGATGCAAGCTTACAACTAAAAATTTCTCCTCATTTATAATGGCAATGCAGAAAATGTTGCACACACACACACACACACACACACAGACACATACACAGACATTGTCTGCTTCAGTTTAAGAGAGAGAGAGTGAGAGAGTGGGAGAGGGCAGCACACGCATTACAGACACGTGCTTAAGAAGATGATGATGATAGATTTGCGAACAATTGCTGCGCTCAAGCTGAGCCAGTTCTGTCCTTCTTATCTTGGCCAATGCCGCACAATGGAAGTGCCGCTGCTGCGTGCAGGAATTCCACAACGAACACGGGAATGCTCTTACCATACAGAGAGAGAAATTATGGGGGGACGGAATGTAAGATAAAAAAGATGTGTGTTCAAATGAGAGAGCTGGAAACCCATCAGATATCGTTTGTATATCTTGAACCGTTCTCTGTGTATTTTGTTTTCTGAAAGTTAGCTAAAGGGTAAGACAACTTTAAAGAGAAGCCCCTAAATAACTAAGGCACTTGCTAATTATTTAAGCCATAAATCTATTAGAAATATACTCTTAAGTTTGAAGCACAGCTTAAACATATCTTTAACCTAGATACAAGTTACAGAAAACCCATTAGAACTCTCTGTAATATTCGCTATTATGTGAGTAAATAAAGGTATTGAAATAAGTAAAGTTCGTAAGTATAAAAATTATATTCTGCAAGTCATAAACTTTGTTGAGTATTCTCCAGACTTTTCTGATATTTTGTTATGTTTTTTTGCCACAGAAAATATCCCACAGAAATTCCCTCACACTCAGAGCACCCCACAACGGATATACCCCAGCTAAAGTTGCTCTTTCTTGTGTAAGAGTATTTGCAAATTACTCGAGCATATTGCCTGACATTGTTGCTTTTGGGTGCTGCTGTTGCTGCTTGGCTCTGCCTTGACACGCTGTGCCACTCCCCCTCTCTGGAGGGAGCTCTTCCCCCTTGTTGCTGCTACTTTGTGATAAATACGATGCCGTTTAATGTTGCAGCAACACCCACGCGATCACGAGAGCCTCCCACGCTTGAGATAATTTTTCAAGCAGCAGCAGGCTGCGCCGCCAGCGACATGGCAACGACCAAGGACTCGACGACTCTTGGACAGCGACACACTCTTGGTCTCCACGTGGCGAAATCCCAGCAAGCAGATCACATAACTTTGCTGAGCCAGCATCAATCACAGTGCTGCAGGGCAGAGGCGGCGCATAGCCGGGCACAGATTTTTCCGCTTTTCTCGTATTTTTTTTTTATGAATTTTTATTAATGGCCAAAAGTGCGCTTTTGTTTGGTTATAAACATATGGAATATCTATCTGCTGCATATATTAGTAATTAATCAAAGACTCTGTGGAAGCAGAAATGCGAGTATATATGTATGTATCTATGTAGGTGGGATTATGATTATATATTGCTGGCTGGGTTGGTTGGGTTGGTTTGTTGATTGCTGTGACTCTGGTTGTGTGGCTGCTGTCTGGCTGGCTGGCAATTGGCTCATTGTCATTGACATTATCCTGTGGGCCGAAGCTCCAGGCAGATGTCAGTGGGCCCCTTCCTCGGGGGTCGGGGATTTGGGGGGCATCGTCCTCTAATTGGGATTCAGCTTCACTTCAGCTGTGGCCGCATTGAGGCGCGAATGGGTGGGCAGATTTCGCTCCTTCTTCTCCACGAAGATCTGGTAGTGGCCCTCGCCATAGCCAAAGCCGTGCATGCTCTTGTGCATGGCATCGGGTATGATCTTGAAGCCGCCGCGTCTCTCCATCAATGGGGAATCCTCCTCCTCCTCCTGCTGCTGCTGCTGCTGCTGCTGCCGGATATCCTTATCCTTCTCAACGCAGTCACAGCCGGACTTCTTGCAGGTTGCAGTGCGATTCTCGAGTATGCAAAAGAGCTGCAGGCACTTGCGCATCACATAGATCATCAGCAGGATGATCAGATTGGTGGCAAACAGATGTTTGCGCGGCGCCAGGAACAACATCCTAAGCACTGGCACTGGCACTGGCACTGGCACTGGACACTGGGTCTATAGTTATCACAGACACGACTTCTGCACTTCTGGGACTACGAATGCGACGATGATGGCTGACTATCACTGCTGACAGACGACGACTGAGTGAAGGATTCTTGCTCCGCAGAGCGGTATTTATGCGGCTGATCGACTGTTGGCTCTACCTAACCTTAGGTAGAGCATCCACCCACCCACGGGGTAGGTCTCGGTATCGGTATCGGTCTCGTGGGTTTCTTTTGGGTTAGACTGTACCTTTTGAGGATATATGTACATACATATGTACCTACTATTTGGCTAGTCCTTCAGATTAGGTAATCATCGGGAAGGCGCAGGCGCAGGCGACGGGCCAAACGACGCTGTTTATGATTTTGCGGAAAATGTCCAAGCCGTCAGGCTGCAGCCTGACACAGTGACAACAGTTACGGCCACAAACGGAAAATGCATCGGTGGCTGTAAATACATACAGCAGTAAGTTTCCTCTTTCCACAGAAAGAAGAAGGCAGACAGACAGCCAGTCAGGCACACTCGGCTAAACATTCGAGTGAAAATGGTAAATCTTTATATACATAAAATAATCCAATATAAAATATATGACAGATTCCCTGGAAAATAGAATGATTCTAGTGAATATGCTTAACCATGAGTCTATACTTAGACTACATTCAACGAATTGAATTTGGCCTTCAATTTAGTCTGGAGAACAAACTTCCTATGGGAAACCCACTGGATACTCTTCCATTTTAGCCTGCCCTAATACTCTTTTCAGTGTACTATTGTTTCATCTTCAATATAGTCAAAGGTTTCCTCTTAAAGTATAAAGTAAATGAATATTTGTGGCAGCTCAAGAGATACGCAGCAGAATGGAACATATCCTGTGAACTTTATTTCCCTTTTTTGATTAAACGTTTTCCCTGCACTCTCAGCTCAATGAGCTTCATAGGTAAAGGCACTTTAATTATCCCTTAAAATCATTCCCTCATTTTCCCAAGTACCTTACTCTCTTTTGGTACTTTTGATCACAATTCCTCAGGGAACCTCTCAACTTTCCTTCTGCTTGCTGTAATTTTTCCCAGTGCACTTTTCACACTGCCGCCTGCTGCATCCTTTTTCACGTTTATGCAACTGCAGCAAACTGAATTTCCGCCCCCACCCCGCTGCCATCTGCTTCCATTGCTGGAAAAAAGTGGCATAAATTCACAAATTGAATATAAATAAATTTCCTGCCAGGCAATCGCACCGAAAAAAACGGAGAAGAGTGGAATAAATATCCTAGAAGGATCCATACATCCACTACTCATATTCGCATCGGTGTGTCTGTATGTGTGTGGCACGTGCCACACCCCGTCCATAGATACCACAGTCAATTGAATTTGAATGTCGAGCAGACTCCACCACGCCAGCAGCCAGCAGAAAAGTAGAAAAACTGTGCCATACAAATGGCGAAAATATGTTGGCCAACAGGAAAAGATGGTCGGGTTCGATAGATGTGGCGGAGAGCTGGTAAAAAGCTGGTAGTCTGCCACACCAAACCTCCAACTAATCAATGAAGCTGCCGCCGCACTCATTAGGGCGAAGCAAACTTTTTCCTGTGCTGCTGTTCACCTGCTTTAAATTCTCTGGGGCGGGCGGGATAAATGGGGGTAGGTAGTGACACAGACAGCTATAAAAAAAACGTAGCAAGAAAAGATAACCCCCCGAGGAGAAGTTGGCCCAAAAGTTTGCGAAAGGAAGACCTCCAATGGAACCTCCAGAATCCTCATTGGACAGGGGTGACTTTTTGCCTTCTGGTCTCGATATTCGCGCGGCCACACACAATGCATCCCAAATGTCCACGAACAGAAAGAAGCAGGCAACAGTGCGGCAGTGCGGCAGGCAGCAGGAGTCCGGCTGCCGCAGCCGCAGCAGATGATGCGGCCCCAGCAATTTGCCTTCATTTGTTGACTTAATCATTTGATTGCGTTTTTCTGCACGCGCTGATTGAATTTTTCAGCCAAGGCGAAAGTTTTGGGCGTGTCCCAGTTTCGGGTTTCTGTGCTCGATTTTGGGCTGCCCCCTCCCCTCGGGGGAAATCAAGCTAATTAGTTTAATTGATAGTTGTGGGCATGCTGCTGGCCATGCGGCGATTTGGTTGCAGCCAAACACGCAAATCAAGCGACGAAGCAAACAGGAAAAGTTTTTCGTTTTTGTTTTTTTTTTTTGGCAGTGGCAGAAAACAACAACAAAAGGTTTGGAAACTTTGGACAGTTGGAGTTCGGAAATACCACAACTCAATGGATGGATATATGAAAATTAGTATCAAGTTTTTTTTTTGTTGGTAAGGCTTTCCCATTTAATCAATTCCGAAGCTAAAGATAAATGTTAGGCGGCTTCAGATTCAAGTGAAATTTTCGGGCTAAAAGTCTGGCATAATTTTCTACTCCTCGTGCCACTCTCTCTATAAACAATATCTGAGCCTAGCCTACACATATTTTCATATTTAATTTTCATATATATTTCTACATGTAGCTTTCCGTTCCCCCCCACCCCCACCATCTGCTGTGGCGCCGCAAATCAATTGAAAATAAATATTTCTGCTCGATATTTATGTGCCGCATGTGTGCTGGCATTTAAGATGAGTTTTTGATGAAACCAAATAAATTTCATAAATGGCAGGCCATGGACGACGGACCCCCGCCCTGGCCACACCAAACCTCCCACCCCCCCCCGCCATTGAGGTATTAAGGTGTGCCAGCCACCGCGCGTACGGGGTACGTGCTTGGGCAGGCTTCGTGCTGCGGGTGTGTGTAGGGGCATGGGGCATGGCTTCATAAATATTTATGATATGCTGCTTGCCACAGGAAGATCTGCTGCTCTGCATCTCTCTCTCTCACTCTCACTCTCTGGCTTTCTCTTTTATTGTTCTAACTGATTTTGTTCGCGTTGCGCATAAAAAATAACGCGTAAAATCTACAAAATACAAGGAAAAAATGTGAAAAAAAATGTTGCTTTAACCCACTAGTGACTCTCAGGTTAACCCCCGGCAGCAGCAGCAGCAAAAGCACCTTGGCCCATAATAAATTATGCATTAAAAAGTTCAACGTTCAACTGGATTCTGATTGTGTTCTGTAGGGCGGCAATTGCTCCTTCAACCTTATAGAGGAGAGGACGGACCAGGACCTACCACTTGAGGCTGGCTATATCTGGACTACCTGTCGCCAAAGTTTTTTAGCCAAGGATTTCGTCTGGCTGGCCATTTTAAGGGCATTATGCTGCAGTCACAGTCTCGGTCTCGGTCTCCGTCTCCGTCTCGAACTAGAACGAAACCCAAAACCAGGACGAGAGCCAGGACGACGCTTGGCAGTACAATTTATTCTAATGCGATTTGCATTTATTTCGCTTGGCATAATCTGTGCTGCCTTTTCTCCGTTCCTCCGCCAGGAACATCCTCCACAATGGAGCAGAATTAACTTTAAATTCTACTGAAATTGCCATTCTGTGGACAGGTCCTGCTCATGGGTACATGTATCCACAGGACGATGGCAGTTTATGCCAGCCTCTTACTGACCATAATGCTAAAAACTGTTCGCTTACTTAGCTGAAGGATTGACACAACCAAGAGGCAGCGAGGGACCCCATTAGGCTAAGGTACAAGAAAACAACAGCAGAGGGCTGGGAGGCAAGGAAGGACCTGCTGCTGCTGCTGCTGTTGCTGCTGAAGCAGTGGCAACAGTGGCAACCTGCAGCATCTCTCTCTCACTCTCTTTCTGGATCTCAATCTGCATCTGCAGCATCCATCAGACCAAACAATTTCCGTCAAATTTCCATGCGCCGACAAAAGCTTTTCACTTGAGTGCCAGACAAAAGCCACCCCCCACCCAGTGCACAGTCCACCCATCAACCATGGCAGATAAATTGCAATGTAAACGAAGTTTATATACCCTTCCCATTGGCAGCCAATTAGGGGGATTAAATCTTGCACTAATTGTTCAGCGAGTAAGTTTAGGGCTGCCGAAACGAAAGATTAATTTATAATTGCAAGGCTTAAACCAGCAAAAAGCACCCCCCATTTACAGGGTACTCATCCGTCGAGGCTACCTCTTTGCTGGCTGCCGCCTGCTTGCCTGCCTGCCTGTGCCTGCCTGGGCTGTCTTCTGGCATCTCCTTAGCAGGCATATTCAAAGCCATTACTTTGCGTTTTACACCTTGCAACAAATATTAGGGCCACGGCAGAGGACTTCGGATTTCGGCTTGAGACGGTGTACAGTCAGGGCGTGGCTGCTGTCTTTGCTTTTGGCATAAATCCAGGCAAATACTGAGTATATATTTGTGTGTTGGAAACCACGCGAATAAATTTGCAAACGTAACCGATTCGGCTCGGAAATACTGGGGGTTTTTCGGGAATTAGTTCAACGGGAACCTGAATCGGATAGGTACATCAAGTAATGGCAATATTTTCCGAGTTTTTCGAATTTTATGTCTTAAATTTCCTTCCCCGTTATAGTTTGTGTGTCGAAAAAGAGACCCAAGAGACCAATTTGAAGATGGGGACACGACACGTTCCACACAGCATGTCCCAAGTAAAGTTCCGAAAAAGCATAAATCGCTTATCTATCTGCCACTGGAGGAGGCGCCTCCATTGCCATTGCGTCATCAAGCAGTGTGGCAGAAAGGGATGCAGAGAGAGAGAGAGCGGGGTAGCCTGCTCCAGTTTGGGTTCGGGTCATTAGCCAACCTTTGGTTGACTGACTGACTGACTGGGCGATGCTCCATAGCCACAGCAGCTGTCTGGCGGCTAGGGCAGGGCAGTGGAGTGGAGAGGGGGCGTGAGTGTCATTCAAATGTCATTAGTGACACGGATGCAGCAGGAGCTGGCACAGCAGGGCACAGCAGGTGGCACTGCAGCGGTAGAGCAGAGCTGCAGAGGTGCATGCATCGCAATTTGATTTCGAGGCGCCACACCAAATTGAGGGCCAAGGAAGGCGCTAACAGGATTCCGTCACTTGGCGAGGCATCAGCTGCATTTGATTAAACGTTGAACCAGCAGCAGGAAGAGCAGGAAGCAGGCAGAGCACAGCACAGCACTGCACATCCTGGGGCCACTTTCAGAGGCCAGAAGATACCGCGCTCTCTCTCTCCCCCCCCCTCCCCACCCATGTATCTTTTGCCATTTTAATTGCATTGGAAATTAAAAAAGGCTTTGCATGCTTTTCAGCGATTGCCAGATTTATGATTTCGATTTGTTATTTATTGCACGGACTAGAACCGAACAGAACTGCACAGTACGAAGCGTAGCGGAGTGGAGTGGAGAGCAGCGAAGCAATATTCAATTTCGCACTCCATGAAGATTTATGTGTTGAACGTATCGCAGCAGCCCGAGGCGCCTTTTTATTCGCTGGCCACTTTCAAACAGTTTTCCATTTAGCCAACAAACTAAACAAATATTTCGACTATTTTGTGTAAATTGTTGTCCGCGGCGGCTTCATTCGATACAAATGGATTTTTGAATATTGTTTGGTGTGTCAGCAGCACCCCCTACCGCATCACACCACAAAACCTCTCAGAAAAGCAGATGTATGTATTTTGTTTTGTATTGATGTGTGGCCGTTGACTTTCACAAAAAGAGGTAAATAAATTCTTATTGATTTGCTTTTGTGTATTAATTTTTTGAACCGATTGAAGCTGAACGGCAGCAACAAAAAAGAACGCTCCAAAGCACACACAAACCGAATTTATATTTGGCTTATATTGGCAAAATGTTTTTTCTTTTTTTGCATTTTATATTTTGTATTTTGCCATTTGAAAAATCTCATAAAAATTAAATATAAAATATGAAAATTTCACTTTTTTCTACTTCCTCTCTCTGTCTCTGTGTGTGTCTCTCTCTCTCTCTTTGTCTCTCTGTCTGCCCTGTCATCGAAAAGTAATTTTATTTTTATGAAGAGTAGAAATTTTATTTGCTGGTTTTTTTCTGTAATTTGAGATCTAGTAACATGAATGCCATCAATTATTTGATGGCTGCTTTTGACCACAAAATGGTTTTTGCAAATGTAATCTGTAAAGTTTAAAAAAGTTTAAAAATTTCCCATTGAGTATTGTTATTTTTTGTATTTGCTATGGTGAGCAGAAGGTGTTGCATGTCAAACGTTCAATTTAATGGTAGTAATTCCGAACATCTGAATACTCGTAGTCAAGTACATTGGAATATATGTATGTATGTACATTTGTATTATATATTTTTATGTATGCATATACATATGTGTATGTATTATAGAGATCTTCGATTGAATGCCCAGATATATTTATTTTGTATACTTTGACCCCTTTGTTTTTTGTGCCCTTGCCAAAGTTCTTTTTGTTTATTCATGCTAGCGCGACATTTTAGAGCTTTCGACTGCTCTTCCATACATTACGCTCCCACATATATCACTCTGCATGCATCTCTCTCACTATGACACAATCACTATAAGCTGTGCATCTCCCTCTCTCTCTTTCTCTCACCACAAAGCACCGCTCTCTTCATTCGCTGCTCTCTCTCCCGCTCAAAAACAATCATGATAGAACATGTTCTATGCCAGCAAAAGCTCCCCAGCGATCTGTTATTTTAGTTCGTTCTCTCCCACTGTCTATTGCTCTCACAATCCCTCCCACTCTTCGCTTCGCGCATTCCATCTGCTTCCGCGAGGTGTCTGCTGTCCGCAGTCTGCTCTCTCACCTTAGCGGCTCTGTTTTTGTTGTTCTTGCCGGCTGAATGGCTGATTAAAGTTCAGTCCCGTGTCTGGCCGCCTCTCGACATCGACATCGTCGTCCGAGTCGAGTGGGGATTTAATCGGCCTCTGGGGCCAAACACGCTTTAGTTTTGTTTACGCGCTAGTGGCGTGCACTTGCCACTTCCCTTCCTTTCCCCATTCTTTCTCGTTCTGTTTTGGTCTCTTGCTAATTTAGTTATTGCATAAAAATAGAAAAGTTTTCCCCACGCTGCTTAATGACACGCGTGTGTCGCATCTAGTTGAGAGATTGTGTCAAACATAACGCACGAAATCCCCCAATACACAATGACATCCACAGTGGCTGAGGCGGGTGTGGCGGGTGGAGCAGGCGTTGATGGAAAACAAATTGAGCAACATGAACAGGTAATTATAGTAAAGTGTGGATTTGGATTGGAGTGTGTGGACTGGAGGGGACTGTGACTGTTATATGCCATCGTGTCATAAAAAGTTATTGAATGTTATACGACCTTATCGCACGGGGGCTAAGCTAAGTAGATTTCCCATGAAAATCCATGAAAATAGCCCGACCGTCGCCCCTCCCTACCTTTGGACGCAATTGCAACTCTTATCGCCTTGGACTCACCTGATAAGATTCCTATCCAGCGGCCGCCCTCGAAAAGCGGAATCAAAGTCAATGCCTAACACACTTGGAGTCGGAGAGCGTCGCCAGCTACCGATAGAATGTGCAAAGTAGAGTGATTTTTTTTTTGTGTGTAAAAAACCCCACTAGGACCCACAACCACACGTCTAAAGGGGGGTGTGGGGAGGGGGGACTTTCTTTTTGTGTGTTATGGAGCTCATTAGCGGAGTTCATCAAAGTGTTGGTTGGCCGTAGGAAACTTTGTTTACTGTAAAAGTTTTACAGGCAAAGCTTTACGCTCTCCTCTTGCTATCTCTCTCTCTCTCTCTCACGCTTTCGTCACATTTGAGAGTACATTTTTGGCGATAATTTTCAAGCTGAGCGAGCGAAGAAAATTTGCAAAACTACACAAAAAGCATTTGTTGTCGGAAAATTGGTAAAGTTTTGCATGTGGCAGGCATCCCTCAATGGCAGAGACAGTAAAGGCTGCCCACTAAAGGAATAGGTTAAGGTTAGGTTAGGTCTCCTCCCATGAGAGTACTTCAGTACACTTTTGTCGCTTTAATCTATCTGCTCTCTTAGTGCAGCCATTGTTCTATCCGTAGAGCCCCCACTGTACTTGCTAACGATTGGTTTCGCCTGGGGAACACACAACCCCTCGCCGCACAACAAAAAAACACTAGATGATAAATTGTTGCAAGGGAAAATGCGCTGTGGGGGGGCGTTCTCGCTTCTCGCCTGCCCATCAATTGACACCTGGGCCCCAGCTCAGTTGTCAACCGAATTCAACTTTTTCACACAAAGCGATTGATCAAACCGAGCCCCCCCCTCGCCCCAGTAGATGTGTGATGTGTCGGTGGAAATGGTTTCGTGTGGGGAATATGCCAGAGGTACATTTTTCACCTATAACCAGGCGGGTTTTCCTGCCGCCAGCTGACAGGGGACAGGACAGGACAGACACGGGGACAGGAGCGAACAGCAAGCAGGCCGACAGGCCGACAGGCACCAACAGGCAGCGACCAGGCTACCAGCTTCCCCACTGGCAATTAACAGCTAACAAGGAGAACAAACCCCGGCTCTCTAACCCTTCCTTCAGCAGCATTTGCATCTCTCACTCTCTCTCTCTCTCACTCTCTCTCTCTCTCACTCTCTCTCTCTGTTTTGTTCGTTGCAGGAACCGATGGATGTGCGCATCGATATGCCGTGGGGTTATGTGGTAGGCCGCTGGTACGGCAATCGACAGGTACGTCCCATACTGGCCCTCCACGGCTGGCTGGACAATTTAGGGACGTGGAACGAGCTGCTGCCGCTGCTGCCCACACACCTGGGCGTGCTCTGCATTGACCTGCCCGGCCACGGCTACTCCTCGAAGCTGCCCGAGGGGATTGCCTACCACTTTGTGGACTACCTGTGCGTGATCCTGCGCATCATGGAGGAGTACGGCTGGCAGAAGGTGTCGCTAATGGCCCACTCCATGAGCGCCATGCTGTGCTTCGTGTTTGCCTCGCTCTATCCACACCGCATGGACCTGCTCATCAGCGTGGATATCGTGAAGACGCGCTACCGCAAGCCGGCCTCGCAGATTGATTACCTGCGCACCAACATCGAGGGCTACATGCTGGAGGACGAGCGCTTCGCCAATGCCAAGCGACAGGAGCCACCCTCCTACACCTACGCGGAGCTGGAGCAGGTGCTGCACAAGGGCTCCGAGAGGTCGGTGCTGCTCGAGAACTGCCACCACATACTCGAGCGGAATGTGGCCAAGTCCACCAAGTACCCGGACAAGTATTTCTTCAGCCGCGACGGACGCTGCAAATACTACAACGAATTCCACACGAGTCCCCCCTTTGCCGCAGAGCTGGCGCGCACCATCCGCAATGTGCCGTACTGCGTGATCAAGGGCTCCGAGTCGAACTTCATCGATGAGCAGAGCGACGAGGTCATTGCCATTCTGCGCGCGAACAATCCACACTTTGAGCTGCACGAAGTGCAGGGCACCCATCATGTGCACCTCAACAATGCCGCCGGTGTGGCGGCCATCATCAATCCGTTCATCATGCGGCACCGGCCGCCGCAGCTGGAAACGTGGACGGTGGACAGCGACCAGAGCGAGGAGCTGCCTGACACCATCAAGGAGTTTAAGCTGGCAGTGGAGGACTCAGAGAATGTCAAGCGGAGAAAGAGAAAAAGTAACCTATAGCTGCTGTCGGCATCTCTGATTTGCAGCGCGAAAAGAGTATTTTGTGAGATTTCTACATGCATACATACATTACATATGTACATATGTATGTGTGTATGTGTGTATGTATATAAAATGATATTTGATTTTGATTATGATTGTGTGTGATGCTTCAAGCGATTATTTTGTGTGTGAAAATATAGTTTTAATTAAACCATAATTTTATTACAAATTCAAGGGTTTTGCTGTGTGTGTGTTTTAATTGTCGGAAAATGTCGGAAACGCAGCGGGAAAGTGCACGTGGAGAAAAGTATGACGGCAATTACAAATTACAAAAATTTGCAGCGAGCATGCAGCTGCATTTTATGGATATATATCAAAGAATTATATTTAATATTATATATGTATATATTATATTATATTAATTATTAATATTAATATTATACATATATATATATATTAATATCTAATGGGTGCTGCCATTGAAACTTTAGTTTCTACAATTTACTCTTTTCCATTAAGATAATCGCATCAAATATTTTCTTTGGCAATCAATCTGCTCTGGCACCGAAAGGTTTTATCGTCAAAGCTAATCTTGTCTCTGCTCTTTATTTAAATTTAATTTTCTAAAATTCAGGCAACATTCGAATTTTGTGGAAGTGCATCAGGCGTATCCAGCCGAACCCCCCTACCCGCAGCAGTCCCTTGCTACACACACACCTTTATGCACCCGTATCTCTATGAGTATCTGTGGTTTCGGCCTGACCGCACAACATATTGAACTGCCGCCCGCCCACAAACCGCAAGCTAAATTGGTTTAAATAATTTTCCCCATTTATTTTTCTTTGCGCTCCTCTCTGGTATGTTTGGGTTTGCTGTTGGGGTGTGGGGTGGGGTGCACCTTTTTTTTTTGCGATCAATCAATTTTCGTTTAGGTTTTGGCCATTTAATTTTCGCTTTAATCTTTCGGGACGCAGTTCATTGGCCACTTCATTAGTGATAAGGGTATCGGAAATGCTGCTGGAGCTCCTGGCACTCCTGGCTACTGGCTGCCAGCTAACTTCTCCTCCTGGCTGGCTGGGAATGAGCTCCAACACAAAGGATGTCCCGGCATCCACTTAAAAACAATGGCGGGGCCAAAAACAAAAGAACCTTGTTCGGAAAAAGCTCTTCCTCTATGCTCCCCCTGCCTTCCACACTCTCTCTCTCTCAATCCCTGTGTGTTTGTGGGCGGATTTCCCAGTGGGTGCCGGAAGGTATGCTATACACTAAGCACCCAGACCAGACTGAGAGAGAGAGAGAGAGAGAGAGAAATCGAACCCAAAACCGAATCGCATCCGTATTGGGGAATGGAAAGAGGCAGGCATTGGCGTACGTCCGGAGAAGGAAGCCCCTGCGGGACTCACGAGGCTTGAAAAAATAAACAAATTTAACGCTTTTATTGCCTTTGCACGTTGCGGATCCGACTCCAGGCAACCCCCCGGCCACCACGTCTCTTGCTGCTTGGTTCCGTATTCAGTTTTCTACGTAAATTAAATTAGGTAAAACCGGAAAAATGCTCCCAAGCAGCCAAAGATGCGATTACGCTTTTTGCCGTCGTTACGAAATTGATAGCGGATATAAATGTTTAATGTTTTGGCAATAAAAATGTAAGGGTACCCCCGCACACACACATACACTAGGAGGAGCAGAGGGAGCAGCAGCAGAGGGAGCAGCAGCAGCATCCTATCTGCCCACTGATAAAGCGACTTTATGATAAATTCCGTTTGCGGTTTTACGCACAATTTAATTTGCTTAAAAATCAATAAAAATCATTAACATTGTTCCGCTAAGAGAAGGTTTTTAGCGGAGTGGTCCACACAGCACCACACCCCCCCACTTACCGGTAAGATGGTGGAAAATATATAATGCTGCTCATAAATAATTAATAATCTTTGGGTGGGTGGGTAAAGGCTTACAACAGATTTGTGTCCGAATCCCAATCCCAGCTGCCAGGCCAGATAATGCTCGTAAATATTTTGTGGAATAAAAAAATAATAATTAACCGAAAGCCCCGCCGCGTTTTGTGCTCGAAGCAAATTAGTTTTCCAAGAAATTAGCTTCATTTTCCAGCACAGACAATGGGGAAAAGAGCGTAAAAAAAAAAAAAGAAGCGAAGCCATCGATGAGTAATGAGTGGAAATGAATCTGGGGAGGAGAAAGTAAATCACTTTATTGTCAAAACTTGTGCTTGGGATTGTCGGCAGTGTCGGCGGTGAGGCCACTGATCGGATACTGCTGGAAGATGCGGCTCCTGGACAGGCGCACGGACTGCAGCTCGTGCGGCGGTTTGTTGTGTGCCAGAAAGTGATTCGTGTGCCAGAACTGCGTCTGTGCCCCGGCGGTGGAACGTCGGCGTATGCCCAGCAGTCGATTGCGGACATCCACGAGGCTGGCGGAGTGGGGCTGCAGCCACTGCACCACCGGAATGGCCAGGCCAGTCAGCACCAATGTGACCACACTGCCCGCGAGCACAGCCGTCCAGGTGTCATCCGCATTCGCCTCGTACTTGTAGCCCTCGAGGATGGCCAGCTGCAGCACAAATCCGATGGCCAGTGCCAGCTCCGCGTAGAGAAAGGGCGAGCACTCGAGCAGCCAGTGGAGGGTGTGGCTGGAGAGGACGCCCATGGTGGCGTAGATGAGGCACAGGAAGAGGAAACAGTGCTCCGACTGCTCCTCGCTGTAGATGCACAGCAGGGCCACGATCAGCGTCATCTGGATGACCCCAAACAGGAGGTACACCAGCTTCGGGGTGTAGCGCATCAGCAGCAGAGCGCCGAGGCCACAGCCCCCCGCGTACAGTGCGAACGGCGCAAAGAGATGCGACCGCTGTGCATATCCCGCGGTGGCGCTCCACATCAGCTGCAGATAGGCGGGCGAGTAGAGCAGGCAGTTGCGCTGCAGCGTCACCAGGCAGCCGCCGAGGCTGAGGACCAGCCACTGCCTGCTGGCCAGCAGCTGGTAGTCGGTGCGGCCCACAAACTGGGCGAGCACCGCCTGACGGGGCAGGAACACCATCCGTTCCTCGTTCAGCAGATTGAAGACCAAATCGCGCGACTCCTTGTAGTTGTGGCAGCCCACATGCTGCAGCAGTTCGTTGAGGCACACCACAGAAATCAGCAGCAGATTGATGCCCAGGGTAATCAGGCCACAGCGCTGTGGTTCCATCTCGTTGAAGATCACAAATCCAGTGGCCAGGCCGCACACATGCAGGGCATTCGCCAAGGCGATCCTTGCCGGCCGCAATCCCGAGGCATCGCATCGCAGGCTCACATAGCTAAAGCCCGACACATACACAACACTCAGGCCCACAAAGCTGAAGTAGTAGCTAACAGCTAACGGAAGAGACAATTATCAAACGGGGGGGCTGGCACAGATATATCTCTGAAGTAGATGACTCACCCAACTGTTTGGTTAGCATGAAGCAGCTGCCCATCAGCGCACACAACAGACCATAGAAGATGATATAGTAATGATCGTAGCTGTACTTCTGGCGCTTGTGCTTCCGCAGGGTCCAGCCGAGGGCCAGGGCGAGGGTGACGGCGCCACCGACCAGAGCATACCAGTGTGGCCAGAGATTGTCGTACGCATAGGCAGACTTGGCATAGTAGCCCAAGGAGAAGCCACTGGCCCACAGGCAGGCCAACACTTGAGGAGAGAGACACACACACACACTGGGAGGGTGAGACAAGTGATACAAGTGATCGAGCGGGTACATACCCAGCAAATCGGGCAGCGAGAAGATTGCCACGAGACGTGTCCACGCGCTATCCACCTTCGAGGGCAGCTTCATCTCTCGCTCGCTGTCACATCTACTCCGTTGGGGAATTGAAATTGAAATGGAAATACACGTAATCGAAGTGCATCCCCCGCTTGTGGTGGGGGGCCTTGTCTGCTTGTATATTGGTTAGCGATAGCGCATCTTGTCACGAATGTCTCCAATCGCTTCAGATAAGATAAATGTCGCGCCCAGCAGAACAAGCGACACACTAATTAAACAGCGAACGATCATGATGATGATGATGATGATGTTGATGACTTTTTGAAAGATTTGGTCCACAGAGAGAGAGAGAGAGAGAGAGAGAGAGAGAGAGAGAGGACAGCACACCTGTTGTGGCATGAAATAGAATGGGTGGAGTAGGGTGGGGCAGGGCAGGGCATGGCATGGCACAATTGATAGCAGTAAGTCAATCGAATTGCAAAAGACAACAGCAAACAGATGTGGAAATTATTTATAGCAAAAGATTTCTTTGAAAAGTCAATGAACGAATGATTAAGGAATGGGAGAGAGGGAGAGACAGAGAGAGGGAGAGATTTATATATAGCTGTAGTTTGTGTTTAAGCCTAAATATAGTAGATGAAAGTTGTTTGTTCTAATTAAAGCAGAGACTCAATTAATTAAGAGCAATTGCTTTGCCCTCACTGAATAAAGTTCTGCTTATTGTGGCAAGATAATTCCCTCTACGATGAATAATTCCACCAATATGTTTGCCCTGGTACAAATATTTTACTGCATTATTCAAATGCGAAATGAAAGATTCAACCGAAATGGTTGCATCCACAGCAACGAGAGGTCTGTAAGTAAATCTGCTGTGAGCATCTGTGCCACCTGCACTCCACACACAACTAACCCAAATTAACCCACGAGGAGAGAGAGAGCATGACACACTTTCTGTGTCTCGTAAAAGTCCGTGGTGCTGGTTGCTGGTTGCTGGTGCTCCTCTACATACTCTTCAGTTTTCCCCACTACCTCTCCACCGTCTCTCCCCCGTCTCGTCTCGTCCTTCTCGCTCACCCTCCTCTTTTCGTGTTGAATCCTCATCTAAAAACCCGCGTTAAGTGCATTCTTATTTACCGCAAACCCAAAAGCATGCTACACGCTTTTTTTTTTGTGTGTGTGCGTAGTTGCACCTTTATCCCTGCCCCAACCCTGCTTGCAGCATGCCTCTGCCCAGGCTTTGAATAGACAGAGAGCAGCAGTGGCAGCAGCAGAGGCAGCAGCAGCGGCACGCTAATTAGTTGAAGTTGTGCTGCAAGTGTTGCAGTTAATTGACTTTTGACGACCCGTTGTCGCTGCCTCTCCATCTATCTCTCTCTCCCTCCATCTCTCTATGTTCTCTGCTCGCTTTCGCCTGGGGCTGGGGTCGAGCTAAATCCTTGGTTTACCCGCGCTATATCCGCCCAGTCATAGCTTTTTATGTGAGAGATTCTCTTTGGCTGCACTTTTTTCCTTTCTCTCCATCTGCTTGCCCGACTTTGGCTTAAGTTCATTCGGATTTACTTTTCGAGACGCTTATGAATTCAATGAAGCAAACACTAAGCTGCCTCTCAGCGTTGCTCATTGGCTCTGCTCTAGCCACCCACCTACCCCGCTCTCTCTTTATCTCTCCCTCTCTCTCTCTCTCTCTCTCTCTCTCTGTGTATCTGTGGCAAAAGCTTAAAGTGTTGCCAGTTGAAGGGCACTATCTATCTATCTATATTTTTTTTTTCTTTCTTTACCATTTTACTCTCATCTTATCCCGTTTCTCCTTTGACTTCTTAACAAGATTTGCGCTGTAATTACGCATTAAATAACTCTCTGTTTCTGTTGCAAGTCTCCTTCTGTTTCTGCTGCTGTTGCTGCCTGCTGCCTGCTGTTGCATAAACATTTCACGTCTCTTTGGCCATAAAACTAAACACATTGGCCTGCTGGCCATAATAATAAATTCAGCTTAGAGCCAGCAGCTGCAAGTGCAAGAAGATGCGCAGCCTGTGCAAATAATAGCAAAATGGAATCACTTTCTAATGGCCGCGAATCGACCATTTGATGGCCACTAATGTCATTCGAGCAGCGCGACAACGGCGGTACGACACTCTGCTGGAGAGCAAACGAAATGTGTGTGTGCCAAAATGCCAATCTCTGGATACTCTTCAATGCTCAGTGGATCGCTCTCTCTCCACTGCCTAATACAGTGCCTCCAACTCTCTCCTTCTGCCATTTCAGCCGACGAAAGTCTCTCGCGAGCTTCGCTCTTACATATCTCTCTTTTTTTTATTGCCAGAGAGAGCCTCACCCCAGCGACGTTTGTTCTTAGCTATAGCAGCAGCAGCTTGATCTGCATTGATATGCCGCATTATATGCCCCAGCGTAGCCCTGCATACCCTGTCCCATACCCTGGCAACAACTGTGATGACGACACAACAACTCCGTCCGTCCCTCTGGAGGCGGCGAGAGTGCATTTAATTTTGCTGAAGCGGCCACTTAGTGGCTCTCGACAAGGCGGCAATGGGGCGCATTCCTTCCTTCCTTCCTGCCTTCCTTCCGTCCCGCCTTCCGTTCCTATTGCTAGTTGTTGTTTCTGCTGCTGGTTACCCATTGTTGTTGTTGTTGTTGTTGTTATTTTGTTGCTGCTTCGTTGGTTGTTCCTGTTTTGGTGCTGCATAAATTAAATTAAAGCTAGTGCGCCACTGAGCCACGGCCACAACGGCCACACCGCCACACGGCCTTACTGGCAGTGTGGCAGTGTGGCGCCCACACACAACAATTACTCAGCGAACAAACGCCTAAATCATGTTGCACGGTGCTGCTGCTGCTGCCGCCCGCCCTCTCTGACCTTCAGACATTTTGCAAATGTGTAAACATTTTTCAGAGCCGCCGCCGCCGCCGCCTGGTCACACTTACGGGGGGCATGAGTGGTGTGCGGGAGTGGAGGGGAGTGCACAGTTGGGGCAGCAGCAGGGGAATGGGAGCAGGAGAGGGAGCGGCGCGTGCTCTCCATGTGTCACAGATACTTTGCACTGATTTATGCAAATTGCCTGACCAGCGTGAACGAGGAGGAGAAAAATCATGAAAAATCGTTAATTGTGCAAAGTGCTGGACGTTTTTCATTAAAGTTTTCCTTTGCCTTTTCCTGCTGCACATTTCTCACACACACACATGCAGGGAGGGGGTAGTGGAACTTTGGCAGCTCTGGCGGCGCCTCTCTTTCGCTCCTTTGCCTGACTCTCTGCAATTATGTAAATTTTTTAAGAGCGCAGCAAAAGTTAATGCTGCTTGCTGCATATTTGCATTAAAATTGATGCACTTTAAAGCATTCGGGCGCAAGCCATTGCCCAAATACCCTGCAATGGGGCAGGGTAGAGGAGGGGGTACCATTGGGACTGAAGGCCTTAAACCGCCAATGTTCCGGTAAATTTACTAGCTTGTCATTTTATTATTACCTGTTAGATTTAAATAAAAAAAAAAAAGAGAAAAGAGAAGAAAAGAAAGTAGAGTAGTTCCTGTAAAGAAATGCCAGAAAAATATACGCTCTATGCTGTTTAAAAAAAAGTTCCAATCGCATTAGCTAAAATTGATTTTATTTTTCTAAGGTATCCCCCTGGTCGTTGCTTTTGTTCACATTTGTAGAATTTTCTTTTAGTTTTGTAGCGGCTTTTGCTGTTGCTTTCTTATCGCTGACCATTTTTGTTTTCTGCAATAATTTTATGCAATGCAGCTGCAACAAAGTGCATTTTAAATGTCTGCCCCATGCGATTTGTGTGTTAATTTTTCATGAGTCAGCAGTCGGGACGCAAAATAAGAGAAGACCCATTAAAAGAGAGTAATAGAGAGAGAGAGAGTGGCAGAGTGGGAGAGTGGGAGAGTGGGAGTGTGAGAGTGGTAGAGTGGGAGTGAGAGGAGTGTGGGTTGTGGAGACCAAACCCCAGAGCCATTAAATTAACCCTTTGACGATCTTCTTTCATCCTCTGCTGACTGCTGGCGATTGAGAAAATTGCACACAAATTTTCATCTTTATCCTCTGCTGCTGATAATTGGGAAAATTGCATTTCCTTTCTTTTCCTTTGCTTTTTTTTCTGTTTTTTTTTTTGTGGTGTTAGCTTTCAATTAAAATTTTGTGCTTGCAGAGGAAGTGCGAGGAGACAGAGAACGATGAGCGGCGGCAAAGTGAAACCTGCTCATCTATTATTAGTCCGGAAAACACACACTTCCATTTTTATTCTCCCCCACTCAACTCTTTATTTCCTTTCGCCCAGCTCCTTTTCGTACGCTTTGTGTTTTCGTTGCTTTATGATTATCCAGCTTTGTGCTGTGTCCTTTTAATCAAATAGCGGGCTATGAATAATTTTATGAACACGAATTATATTTTTTTTATCTAAGCAATGTCAGCGACAGCAGCAGGCAGCAGGCAGCCCAACCATGCCCAGCCCAATGCCATGCCCCGAGGGGCAATTACTCAAGTTCAACGAGATCCAAGAAAATTATTAGCCAATCCAAGCGACGGGCAAGCAAAACGCAGAGCAAAAAAAAAGCTAGAAAAAAGGAGGAGCGAGCAGCAAGGATGGGACACAGCAGGCAAAGGTTGTATTTATGCAAGGTGCAAGGCACTGCCCGAGAGTGGGAGTGGGAGGAATTATACTGTTGCCGCACCTCAACACAAGCCCAGCTTGGGCCATCACTGAGCAGCGGAAGGAGAGAAGAGGAGACACCAATAAGACAGCAGGCAGATAGCGAACAGCGGGGGAGAGAGAGAGAGAGAGAGAGAGCCTGGAGACTGCGATGACGACAGGCTGCAGGTTTTATTTGCCAAAATATAAGATTTATGCAGCCATCAGACAACCCATCACGTATAGGTGTGTGTGTGCGTGTGTGTTTGTGACAGATGAAACTTAATAAACGAAACGAAACAAAACAGCTGTAAAAGTGCGAAAGGAGCGTCAAACTACATGGCCCCATTCACGTGGGGCATAAAAAGAGGTTGTACGCAACAACAACAAAAAAACACCCGCAAGGGCAAAAAAAAGTACCAAAAATCTATGCCACCTCCTACTATTGCACCTTCTATTCCAGCTTTTTTTGTTTTTTGTAGGTT